AAGGCTTCGTAGGGTGTCTTCCCAATGGCGCTGTGTACAAGTCTGTTCTGTATGTAGTTAACCGCGAGAATGATATGATCCCACAGAAAGCGGGGTAGCTGATTGTCAGCCATAACTGAGATACAGGGTTCAACCAGATGGCGGTTTTTGATTTCAGCGATTGGATTAAGATTCGAGCGGTAGCGAGGCGCGGGGTCCCAGACAATACCCTGTTCTTGACAGTAAGATGCAAGTGGTTGATGTTCAGGTGCATTATCGCCATGGACGCGTTTAACATCAATATTCAGCTGGCGCTTGAGATAGTTCTGCAAAGTAATGAACTTGTCTCGTACCTCGCTGCGTTCCTTGAGCAAGAATACCCAGCAGTATCGGGAAGCATGATCCGTGAAAGTAACAAAATAGTATGCTCCAGTCTGGCCGCGCGTAGGAAGCGGTCCGCAAACGTCTGTATGGATAAGATCTCCAACACGTAGACCAAGATCACGAGGTTCTTTGTGGGAAACAGGTAGTGCGTGACCCTTTCCACGGAGACAGGGATCACAGGGTGTTGGCAGTGTACCTTTCTTGATGTCGAATCCAACGACATGCTGAATGGAGTCACGGATCTTCCGCTCGGAGGCGTGGGCCGTACGTCGGTGCGCGAGATGGATTGAGATCGGCGGAGGAACCACCTTTTTGACAGCATTGGCAGTGAGGTCAGTGGGTGGTGAGCGTGTCAGGGCACCGCAGAGATAGAGGCTCTGAATTGCCTTGCGGCTTGTGGCACCTGTTGTATGTAAAAAGTATTGAGCATCCTTAGCAGTTGCAAAACCAATCTGCTTGCCGTTCTGAATAAGAACAGTGGTGTCTTCGGTCTCGATATGTGTGCGAACACCCTGGCGCGCCAGCTGTTTACACGAAATAAGATTATGTGACAGGGCCGGCGCGTACCAAGCGCGTTCAATCTCTAGAAGCCCACAAGGTTTGTTCTCCTTATCTGCCAGTTCGATCGAAACAGTGCCGTAGCCGACAGTTTGGAAGGCCTCGTCAGTAGCAGTCTTGGCCGTACGTACGCAGGGGGTGAAGGACGTGAAGTAATACTTAGAATAAGTCATTGTTTCAACTGTCCCAGAGTCAAGCATCCAATCATGTGAGTGGTTCGGGTTTTGGTCCTCTTGAGCTACAGTAGCGGTACTACAGCGAACTGATATAGCGAAGGCATTAAGAGCGTCGAAATCAATATTAACTGCATTTGCAGAGGGTGTTTCGGACGGCGCTGTAGGTGGATTTGGTGCAGTAACCGCGTTAGCTTGAGTGTTTGTAGATGCTTTCTTGTTTGGATTCAAAGCACACTTGCTTGGAAAGTGATTTCCGTAGCGCTCATGGAAAGTGCACCATATAGTATTCTTATCAGCAGCATCAAGTTGTTCTCTCTCATACTGAGTAGAGGTATTTGTTTGACCTCTACCCCGACCGGGGGGTTCGCCGCGTCCACGACCACGCCCGCGTCCGCGGCCACGACCACCACGATCATTTCCTCGAGTATTTGTGTTGGTGTTGTTGTTGCTGGTGGCGCCCTGAGGCTTGTTATCAACCGAATGAGTGGTTAGTTGAGAGAACTGGTTCTTGCGTGTATATTCAAACTGCGTGAATTGGGCATATACTGATGACAGGATCGCGTCTTCTGTCAGTGTCATGTACTGGTTTGTAATGAACGGCTGCAAGGCAGGAACGTCCTGAATCGCTGTGAAGAACTGCAGGAGTTCAGTATGATCGTCGATGATCTTGGTGCCGCGTAGCTCATTGAGGGCGTCCGCGTAGCATGTAAGAAAGGTCTCTTGACTGCTTGTACCATTGTAGCGAATAGACGCCCATTTATTATACAAGCGAACGACCGTAGCAAAGTTGGAGGTCTCATATGCTTCCTGGAGAAGGACATATGCCTCGAGTGCAGATTCACAGTTTTGGAAACGCGATGCGGGACTGGCCTCGCATGTAGTACCGAGAATCACAAGTATAGAGTAATTCAGCTGTTTCCACTTCTTGCAATCAGAATTGTATGTAGTAAGCAAGGTTTGGTTACGCTGTCTGGCCTGCTCAATGCTGCGTTCCAGCTGTTGTTGAGTAGGTAAAGGGCCACCCTCACCAGCACGGACAGCCAGTATTCTCATATTCTCATCTTCCTCTTCCGAATAAAGAGCTGGTTCTTCTGGAAGAGTATATTTGCCCTGGAGCAGGTCCCACGCGTCCGGATTTTTGGAGCGTAGGTAGTTTCGTAGGTTCCTTTGCCATGTTAACCAGTTCGCCTGGCCTTTGAGCTTAGGAACGTCTTTAGTGACGTCGATATCGAACGGGTCTTTGGACGGCGTCATTGTAAGGGTTCGGCCACGCCGCTCGCGTGGTGGGAGGTTTGGTCGGTCGGTAGATGCCAAGCCTGGATGCCAAGCCGGCTAGATCGCCGCGGAGGCGTGTGGCGCGCCGATTTTGGGGCGTAAGAAGCCTTAACTATGTAGATAATAGTGTACGACGCGTAGAAATGATGGAATAACAGGGGATACAAGTATCTTGTGATCATTTTTCGCCACGAGGGCTCATAACCTGTGGAAGCAATATGATGATATTGTGTGTGTGTCCAGACTAACTAGCTAACTACGCGAGGAGGTGACTGGGTGGCTAGGTGACTAGGTCCGAGATCACGTGATCTCCTTCCACACGTCTCGTACGTCTACAGTTATTTCGGCGAAATACACCGATTCTGCGTCCAAGAGTGCAGTGTAGCCTTGGGAGCTGTTCACAATTTCCTAATGAAGTATCAGGCATATGTCTGTGCAGTCCGGCTGGTAGGGCAATGAGAAAAGTACAAACCTCAGAGTCTCTCTCCATGAAAATTTCATCATCTGGTAAGAAACGTTGTGGCAAACCGATATCGACTTTGTTGTACCTCGACGACCGATCCAGAATCATTTGAGGGGGGAAAATATATATCTCATAGCCGGGGCACCGGCTCGACTAGTGATGAAAAGCAAGGGACAACACTAGTGACAGCGCAAGATTTCGTCATCAGGACGGATCCTTACCCTTTATGTCCCACTCAATGGATTGGATGTTACACTGTGAGGGCCATGAGTTCCCATTTCTGAGTGCGGTTCCCATAAGAAGCCACCCGCGCTGAAGGAAAGGGCGGAGAGCCTTATAATCGCATGTCGACAAGAAGATAAAAGTTAGTGTTCAAATTCGGCTTCAGCCTCGTGGAATAAATTTTGTGTTACAGTGAAGCATGGCAAGATCCTTGCCATACTATATAAAGCGGACCAGATCCTAGCCTGGTGCGCATACTATTATACATCTACCATATCATACACAAGTCAAACATTCAAACATCCAAGATCACGGATCATTAGAAGGTCTTCCGTGTAAAAGCCATATAAGCCTTCCAAGGGAGCTTCCAATCCGACCGGAGAAGTTCAGGCTGGAAGATATCGAAATCGTGACTCTCTAGTCTATCCAGCCACAGCCGCGTTCCAACGGCCGGCATGAACACACCAAATGCACGATTGACCTCCTGTAGTGGGGTCTCGTTCTGGGATTGGAAATCATACTGATGATCCTCTTCATGGCCGTGCTCAAACTCATGCCCTGCATCCTGCCCAGCACGAATATTGCTCAACATCTGCTGCACGGTAATCAGGTGATCGCTGGCCCGAGTGGCAACCGTGAAAACAGCATCCCGTAATCCTGGTGCCTCACTGCCCAGGCGGAACACCTCTTCTTCTTTTACCCCAGCCTGCGCCATTACATCCAATGGCAGCATTACGGCTCCCTGCTTTGCTCCTCCGGCCATTGTCGTACCAGCCTGGTCAGGACGCTGAGTCGATGCGCCCGGGAATGCCACCAGTGGCAAGCCACGGAGTACAGCTGTGATACCGGCTGCCTTTCCAATATGCGATGCCACATGGTCCGCCGTTACGGATGTCATGGGCAGTGCTGAGAGTGTCAAGTAGAGCAAGGTCGAATAGGTGCTTTCCGCATAGGATTCGAGGGCAGCGATATCAGGGTACGGGTCGTTGGTAAGAGTCTGCTCGCGGGCATTGATCATTCTGTTCAGCCAGCCTTTGCTAATACGCGCCCGACCTTGCGTTCGTTCGGTGAGGTCTGAGATGGCCGAGGCGAGGAGAATGGCAATAGGTTCTTTCGGGGGAGACCCGGATAGTGTTTTGGCCATTGCATCGCGCCAGAATTGAAGGCGCATAAGCCCGATCGTGTGGGATGAGGTGGTATCAGGGATTAGGGAAAGAGAGACATTAAGAGCTCGAAGAGCGATGTAAAAGGTTTGCGCAGTTCGGGGAATGAAGGTACTGAGGGTATAGGAGGGACGGTCATATTGTCTGGCATGAACATAGACTGTATTAGATAGGTCGCCAGTTAAGATGGGTAATGCGAAAGACTTTACAGAAGAAGATTCGAGCAGTATTTCAGTGCTGCTTGCACTTCAGCTTCACTTGCTCCGGTCACTGGGGCGGCGACAGCGCGAGAGTGGCTGAAACGGCGTACTTGTGATCGCTGCACCTGTTGGCGGGATATGCTGCATCGAAATAGCGATTGCTGGGTTATGCGGCCCGACCGGATGACGTTCTTGGATAGAGACATTTTGAACCCAAGAACTCTCACTAGTGGCCGGGATAATTATCAATATGATTAGTATTCCCGCAGTGAGCACTGGTTTCTTCCCCAAAGCGGTGGATGCCGGCATTACCTCGCTCCTGTCACGTGCTTGACAGGGCCGTGTTGGGACTGGGCCGAGTCATTCTGATCTTCCGTGGGGTATCGGGCATATGTCACTTTTTGATGTTGATTGCCGGTGAAGTGAGTATACAGTCTGATCGAATCGCTGTAGCACGATCAATGAGAGAAGATATATATTATGAGGACCAGAGCATCATGTAGAGCATCTTATTTAGGATGCGGTATGCAGAGCGGTGAAAGCACTTGCAACGCATTTGCCCGAGGTCACCAATAACTACTACATACATAGTATCACATACATAGTATCATAACACTACTTAAAAGGACCACACTTTCGTATTTCAAAACCACATGGTGCATTCAGCTTCAAAGCAAATAGTCTACTATGCGTTATCCACCGAAATTATGTGTGCCAGTGACGCAACGGCGTAAAACAATCCTGCTAGTCATGGGACCGTTGTCTCAAGTGGAGATGCCGATGGAAACCTAAGGGTCAGTAGTAGTCTGGTCTGGTCTGTTCTGGTGACCGAGTGTCCCCGACCGAGGGATTCACCTCCTACGTCCAGCAACTCCCCCGCATTTCGCTCTCCTTGCGGCTGGACCATCGATTGCCCCGGCTGAGTTGCGGCGTCGTATAATGACGTGTCTCCGAAGATGACATCTAAATAAGTTCCAGTTAAGCTTCCCACTAGATCTCTGCCATAGAACATTCATAGAACTTGGTTTCGAAACTGCCCGGTAGGTTGTTGCCGCTGTTCCTCGAACGGACCGAGGCTGGCTGGCGGCGAGTCCGGGGCAATTCATAATCTTACTAGCCTGTACCGCCCTGATTGAATGGATCTCATTACCGCTAGTAATCCTGATACTGTAAACAAAACCTCCATCCGTTCACCCTTTGGGTGACGGCGAATAACCTAAGGTAGTAGCTGTTAGACTACCACTTACCGCCGATGTTGCATGTGCATTCATGGCTTCCCTGCTCAAGTGGGTCCGAGCATCTGTCTACTATGTACTCTATTCTCTTCTCGCAGAGCTCTCTCAAACACTTCGGTGCTTTCCAACTACCAGGTTCACAGCTAATCCGGCATCCACAATCCTCGAGGAAGAGCACTTCAACTCCTACAGGAAATGGCCACTACTACCCTATTACCAATCGGTGACATATCTGCCCTGTTAAGGGGAAATAGAACTTGGATCCTCATTTACCGCTTGGCTAGCTCAGGATCTCATCTCCAGTCTGTTCTTCCTACTCCATACAACCGACCTGCGGACTGATGCTGAGTGATATGCAGATTCCATTACTATGTGACTCTTCAAAGTCAATACCCATGATGATTCCCATACTCAAGAAACCAAAATACATCAGCACATAAGTCAAGCCAATCTATTTTATCCCGGATACGACTTGGTACGAACAACACTCGGTACTTTGGTACTCGACCCGTGCGGATGGTCTTCGGGGTCATCCGCTGTTGGATCTATTGTAACGGGGAAAGCGAAGCAACGAGTTCCTTACTGAAAGGTATATTATCCTAGTATCTCGAAAACGAATGGCATCAGACTGAACGAACCCTGTAGGATAGTGAAAGCAAGACATCACCATCTCGCATACCGGAGGATTTGAATCGTCGGAGAAATGCCTCGAAACAACAAAAAGGCTTTCTTACATCTCATGGGAGGGATAGTTCAGTGGCGATCAGAAGTTAGAAAGGCGGCAACGAAGCTGTTGCGGGATCCGTGGTCAAAGGGAGAGACAATGTAGCTTAGAAGATGCTGTCATAGCAGCAAATAATGTTTAAAGCTGTACAACTCTAGTTGGATTATCGAAACCGTTCGGTACCCCATGGGGTTGGTGCCAGAACCAAAGCATCAACTGTGAAGACTTAAGAGGCATTTTAGTGATGGCTCGAAATTGGGTCAAATCCGTCCCCACCGGCCCAAATTAAGTTCCTCGGCGATCCGGTTGACCACATTACCCATATTACCGTCACATACGCGGCATCCCCACCCAACGGGAAAGATCCACCTCAACCATGACAATACGTGACCATTCAGCAGTCGGCTGATCCTGGCTTCCATCCAGCCGAGGTATCTTTCCTGCTCTTGATCTTCAACTCGCTCTCTTATCTCATGTGGCCTTTCTCCCTGCTACTTTTTTAGCTCACGCTCCTCTCCTCTGCTTTATTCCTTCTGCCTAGCCATCTCTAACTCTTCTTCTCTTTCTCATCTTCCCCCCATCCCTTCACAACCGCGAGGCATGTTCGCGGCTTCGAGCAGAACCCGTCTCTCCACTCTCCCCCGGACCCGTCTCTCCCCCGCCAACTCGCTCCTCGCCAGATCTGCCGTCGTAAGCCTGTTCCCATACCACCAGAATTCGTGATTAATATCGGCTAATTGTGATTTCTACCGCTTAGACACCCATAATGGCACCCCGTCGCAAAGCATCTTCGATCCCTGAGGGTAAGCAATCACATGCGAATCCGATTCGAGATCCGTTATTGACACGTTGTGGATGGATAGGCTACAAAGAAGATCTCTCCAAAGGCAATATGCTCAGATTCGAAGACTCCCTCCCCCGCCTGCCGGTACCCTCTCTGGAAGAAACGGGCCGTCGCTACCTCAAGTCCGTCCACGCGCTGGTCTCCGAGGCCGAATATGAGCGCACCAAGAAGGCCGTCGACGCCTTTGTTCGCCCGGGTGGTGAGGGTGAGCCCCTGCAGGAAAGGTTGCTCGCCCGCGCCGCCGACCCCAAGGTTAAGAACTGGCTTCTTGAATGGTGGAATCACGCCGCATACCTGGGCTACCGGGACCCTGTCATCCCCTACGTTTCCTACTTCTACTCCTACCGCGACGATCGCGCCCGGCGGGACCCCGCCAAGCGCGCCGCCTCGGTTGCTACCGCCGCTCTGGAATTCAAGCGCCAGGTCGACGATGGCTCCTTGGAGCCTGAATACATGCGCGGCCAGCCCATGGCTATGAGCACCTACCAGTACATGTTCAACTGCTGCCGTATCCCTGGTGACAGTGTCGATTACCCCCAGAAATTCCCGGCTCAGGACAACGAGCACATTGTGGTCGTGCGCAAGAACCAATTTTTCAAGGTGCCTTTGACCGTCAACGGCAAGCGCCTGAACAACTCTGAGCTGCAGCGCCAGTTTGAGCGCATCTACGAGGTTGCCCAGTCCGCTCCGGCGGTCGGCGTCTTGACCGTCGCTAACCGTGACCTGTGGGCCGACGCACGGAAGAAGCTGCTGGCTGCGCACCCGGCCAATGAGCAGGCATTGCGGGACATCGAGTCGAGCGGGTTCCTTGTCTGTCTGGACAATGCCACTCCCGTCACGCTGGAGGAGCGTGCTCATCAGTACTGGCACGGTGATGGTACCAACCGCTGGTTCGACAAGCCGCTGCAGTTCATCATCAATGACAATGGCACCGCTGGGTTCATGGGCGAGCACAGCATGATGGACGGCAGCCCCACCCACCGCCTGAACGACCACTTGAACAACCTCATCTTCAACCACAAGATCGACCTCTCCGAGCAGCCGGTGCGGTCTGACCTGCCCGACCCTCGTCCCATCACCTTCCACCTGGACGGCCCGGTACTGGAGGCCATTGATGCTGCCAACAAGGAGCACCGCCAGCAGATCTCGTCGCACGAGCTCCGGGTCCAGGCTTACCAGGGCTACGGCAAGGGTCTTATTAAGAAGTTCAAGTGCAGTCCGGATGCGTACGTGCAGATGATCATCCAGCTCGCTTATTTCAAGATGTACGGCAAGAACCGCCCGACTTACGAGTCTGCCTCGACCCGCAAGTTCCAGGAGGGCCGCACAGAGACCATCCGCACGGTGTCGGATGAGAGCGTTGCTTTCTGCAAGGCCATCAGCGACCCTGCCGTGCCCCGCGAGGAGGCTGTCCGTCTACTCCGCTCAGCACTGGCCGCCCACACGAAGTACACGGCGGAAGCCAGCGATGGCCGTGGTGTGGACCGCCACCTGTTCGGTCTGAAGAAGCTGCTGCGTGAGGGTGAGAAACTGCCTGCTCTCTATGAGGACCCCGCATTTGCGTACAGTAGCTCGTGGTACCTATCAACCAGCCAGCTGAGCTCGGAGTTCTTCAACGGCTACGGATGGAGTCAAGTGATTGACGACGGATTCGGCATCGCTTATATGATTAATGAGAACAGGTAAGCTCCCCTACCCATAATCATTGATCGTTGCTGACTAGTGCTTTAGCTTGAACTTCAACATTGTGTGCAAGCGCCTTGGCGCAGAGCGCATGAGCTACTATTTGAACGAGGCGGCATCTGATATGAGAGACATGCTGATGCCAGACTTGGCTGCCCAGAGCGAGAAGGCCAAGATGTAAGATAGATAGATACCTATATACCAGCGATACACTTTATTTCAGACCACAATGGAGGATATACACGTTCATAAAGAGCAGATAGATGAATTGTTGAACACACATGTCCAGAAGCATCTGAAACAACACAGTAATATATTTCTGCAACAGCCGATAGAATGATGCAGATATCGTAACATATCAGCTTGGAGATATTTCCTTGGCATACCAGTATATTAATTCCTCCCTTCTCACCACCTTTTTATCGTATCTATAAATCGAATAAATCTATGATGTCTTACTAATCTTGTATGTGATTCTGTGCTCTGACAGTGTTATAATGATTAGGCTGACAGATTCTGAGCCATGCAAGGTACAGACTTTACAATACACTGGATCCCTGCTCACGTCGGAGTCAAGGGAACGAGGCCGCAGACAATGAGGCAAAGCAGGCGGCGGAATGTAAGACTGGACCGGGATAAGAGATAATCTGGCTCGTATTGCTACTAAGAGAACCATTTGCAGGAAGTTCTAGAATAAATATATCAAATAGTAGAAATCACAGTAAACTGGAAATCTTACTGTGTGCCTAGTTAAGGTCTTTTTTAAGAAACTTTGACGTATTATAAGGACCTGCCAAAAGCGTATAGTATAACACAATTATATATGTATAAGTGTGAATGGCGGTGGTCACATGACCGGAGGCCACCTCATCCTTCTCCCTCTGGCTGCATGTCTCTTCCTGTTGGCACGTATCTCGAGCCATCCAGTTGCCCCCATAGCTGAGAAGAAGTGTGCGTATAAGTAACTTAGTTCTAGATTCTTTAGTCAGCGGAAGCCAAGTACTTAAGCATGAGAAACAAATATCTAACTTCGACTTGCATGCTAGAAACTTCTCTGGACACGTGCTTGCTTGTTACCGGCTTTCTCGGGCCGATGTAAGCCCGACGAACCTCTCTCCGATACCACGCCTCTAGGCCGATCATATCACCCTTAGCCGTAGACACAGTATGAAGAAAAGCGATTCGTTTGCTCTCATATTATCACGCTGGTGAGAGCAAAGCATTGGGACGCGGATCGTCGCAATGATAAGCATATCGAAAATCCAAATCTTCCAATCACACGGCATAGTCAATTATATGACTGGCTGACTAAAGGCAAGCTGGCACATCCTTGTCCTCCAGCCGTGCCAGCTCATCATTACATGCGCCTCAAATCACTCGGATACTTGTCATCACTTGACCTGTGCTACACACAACAGGCTGCGGTTGTTTTACGGAAACATATACAGCGAGCTCTTTGAAGAGTTTGACTAGGTCAGAATGCCCGGTCCTCCCAAAACATGTATCAAGAAACGTTTATAAAACTTAAAAAGACCGGAGAGATGGCAAATACAAGATACTAAATCAAGCGGAGGACGAAGTTGACTTAACCAATACTACAAAACGGAGTTTGCGGGCAGACACCCAGTAGGACCGTCATTATCCGAGTCTGTATCAAGAATCGGAGGGGTCATGACACTGGCAAATCTCATATGCCATGTTGGACGAGAGAACATGCTAAGTTTTCCACAGTATTATCTTTACCGCCTTACCATATAGGTCAGCAGGGGCTGTTTTTCCGTCGCCGGTGTAAGGTGGGGGTGGAGCTGACATCTTCGAAGTTGTATGCCCGGCTCGGACTGGCTTAAGAATTAGCCGCTTTCACCTACGCTTCTGGGCCTCTTCGTAACCTCTCAGATTATTGAGATCTGTTTCTTTAACCAAACTCAAATGCTGTCTACCAGAGACCAATACTGGCCTGTCGCATAAGCCATACATTCGCAAAAGATGTCTTCAACGCGTGAACAAGTAGCAAATATAATCAATAGCCCGTTTATTTATTCACTACTTCCACCAGAGCCCAACATTACGCGGATGATTCGCCTTTTGCCGAATAGAGATAACGGCGCCCCGATTCAATGCGAGCTTTTCAACTACAATTTATCACAATCGGACGAGGAGCATCTTTATGAAGCACTTTCCTATGTTTGGGGAAGTCAAGACAGATCTCGTTCAATCATTCTCGATGGCTATATGCTCCCTGTTACTGAAAATCTTCATACTGCATTGTTGCATCTTCGAAGCAAGCAGCTAGAAAGGATACTATGGATTGATGGGATAAGTATAAACCAGGACGATGACGGTGAGAAGAGTAAGCAGATCCCACTCATGCGGATGATCTATGCACAAGCCAGACGCGTTGTTGTCTGGCTAGGAGACGGCAAGGAATATGGAGATAAAGCGCTTAAAGTGCTCGGTTCTCTTGGCAGAAAACGGAAATCAGAGCCAATAAATGAAAGAGATCGTGAGCAATGTGAGAAGTTGCTACAACGGGACTGGTTTCGCCGTATCTGGGTAAGGTGATAGCCTATTATTCACATAAGAGTATTGCTAATGATGTGGACTACTAAGGTATTGCAAGAAGTTGGTGTCGCGCAGTATATTTCTATCATGTGTGGCTCTGTTCAGGTGAATGGACACATTTTTTGTGAGGGCCTGGATAACCTGAAGCCTTCTTCTGCGCTCATGGCTAAGATAAGCCCGGTTTCTTTTCTTATTAAAGAAGCACTTTTCCGGTCACATGATGGGCATCTTTCTGACCCTACACTTTCAATTGGGGAGCTTGTCAGCATGTACCGCAATCACAATGCAACAAAACAGCATGACAAAGTCTATGCATTACTGGGCTTGAGTGCAGACTCGGATAGTGCTGCGTTGGTCCCAGATTATAAGCTTCCTTGGCATGAGGTCTTCAGGCAAGTCACGCAACATGTTTTCCCGAGATGTTCTGTGGAAATATGCTATGGGTCAGAAACAGCTATTGTCAAAGGTAAAGGATGGATTCTGGGTTACATCTATTCGATCAGTGACTCTTTCAAGGACAGTCAACAGACTTTCAGAGTTGTTTTCAATCAGATTTGCCAGAGGCTAGGATATCATGATAGGTGGGAGGCTGAATGGAGTCTACAAGCTTCTGGAGAGTTACTTCAAGATGGTGATATTGTCTGTCTTCTCGAAGGCCAGTCACAGCCAAGTATACTCCGGCTATGTGTTGATTACTACACAGTGGTAACACCGGTTGTGAAACCTAAGCAACAGGCACAGAATACCGAGGATAATGTGACGGTCGGCGAGAGCTGTTCTGCACATGGTCTGTGTGATATTATTTTAGGCTGGAAGGTATCTCAGTCGGAGGACAAGGCTGAGTCAACAAACCTATTAAGGCTTGTTGAAATTGCGCCAAACTACTATAAAAAACATTGTATAGACGAGCGAAGCCTAAACCATACAACATCTGCTATGATAGATGCTGCTATGCAGTCATTACAACTGGGAGTTTCTGGAAAGAGAGCACTGGATAATGTGATTTCCGAAGGCAGGGTAAAAGGCGTGCATACTGATTCCCGTCTCTCGCAGAGTGATGTCAAAGTCTCCCAAGGTTTAATAACTGCAATTAATACAGCTTTGTGGCAAGAGCATGAGAACCCCTATGCCTGGAAAAAGGTGCTCGCACTTGCAGTACAGGATACCCAATTGCATGGATACAGTATTGCAAGCATTCTCCTGCAGCGTCTACGGGAAATGATACTGGTTTCTGAAGAGGTGGCCAAGGCGGCTGCAGCAAATCAGGGAGCATATGCACATAGGATTATGGGGCAGCTTCTTGAACATCATGGAGACAGGCTACCAGTGTCTGAAGAGGTGGTCAAGGCGGCTGCAGCAAATCAGGGAGCATATGCACATAGGATTATGGAGCAGCTTCTTGAATATCATGGAGACAGACTACCGGTGTCTGAAGAGGTGGTCAAGGCAGCTGTAGCAAATGAGAACATATATGCATTTAAGATTATGGGGCAGCTTCTTGAACATCATGGAGACAGACTACTGGTGTCTGAAGAGATGGTCAAGGCAGCTGCAGCAAATCAGGGAGCATATGCATATAGGATTATGGGACAACTTCTTGAATATCGTGGAGACAGGCTACCAGTGTCCGAAGAGGTGGTTAAAGCAGCTGCAGCAAATCAGGGAGTATATGCACCTGAGATTATGGAGCAGCTTCTTAAATATCATGGAGACAGACTACCGGTGTCTGAAGAGATGCTCAAGGCAGCTGCAGCAAATAAGGGAGCATATGCACATAGGATTATGGAGCAGCTTCTTGAACATCATGGAGATAGGCTACCGGTGTCTGAAGAGGTGATCAGGGTGGCTGCAGCAAATCAGGGAGGCTATGCACCTGAGATTATGGAGCAGCTTCTTGAACATAAATGGAAATAGGCTACTGGTGTCTGAAGAGATGGTCAAGGCAGCTGCAGCAAATCAGGGAGCATATGCACATAGGATTATGGGGCAGCTTCTTGAACATCAATGGAAATAGGCTACTGGTGTCTGAAGAGGTGGTCAAATTGACAGCAGAATAATGGAAGCGGTCTACGTGGAGTCTGGCAACAAGGGTTGCTGGAAAGCTTGTCGTTTATACTTCTATTTCTCGTATTTTCTAGTCTCTTTGCAGGATCTGGGATGGCTAGGGGTTGATTACGGAAGAACTCTCCAGTGCTTTTCGGATGATTCCCCAATTGTGTCAGTTTGTTAACCTCATACTATTCCCGGATATTACGGAGCTGTACTTCACTAGTATGACATCACGTTGCTGCGGTGTCATTCGGTTGCGGGCAGCGCTATTGTGGCAAGAATATAGATTGCTGGGTCACGTTGTTAGAATACCTGTTATTACCGTACAGCAACTGATAGATTGAGATATGTCGTTCCACCCCGTTCTATAATTGGCTTAGCTTGGTTTCACCTCGGTGTTGTTGAAACATTCAATGAGCATAAGTGGTGACTCCGATATCCGGAATTGTAATATCTGGTATAAGAATATGAATCGAATTGACTTGAAGTGAATCCCTACATTGTGTACTTTTCTGTCTCTTTGCTACTGCTTTCATTGCTTCCATATCTTTCTGTAACCCTGATTTAGCATGTCTTCCTGCGGCTAGCGATTTTTGTTCACCTACTAGTCCAGCGCTTCTTCTTCTTCTTCTTCTTTTTTTTTTTTCGTGCTGAACTAGATGCTGATCCCGACCTAGACCAGGAACATGTGAGCTTATTGAATGGAATGTATCCTCATGTAACATAATCAATATTATTACGTATTATGATCCTCATGAAAGACTACAAATTAGGGGCGCGCATTGTCAAGAAGGAACTGCATGGCCTCGGGCCACCCTGAATCCACCATTTCCAAAACAGTCTGTCCTGTCTCATCGTGCTGCGTGAGATCAGCTCCGCCTCCCTTCTTAACTAGCAGGTGCAACAATGGCAGATCCCGATACTCAATCGCCTGCATGATAGCATTCCAGTGCCGGTAAGTTTTATTGGGGTCAGCACCCTTCTCAAGCAGAAGCTCAATCATGGAAAAGTCACGATTGATGGTTCGGCGGATCGCTTTGACGAGAGGGAGATGCTCGCCGGGGGCATTTGGATCGGCACCACCTTCCTCCAGCAGGAACCTCACAATATCGTCATGTCGCTCTCGCAAGGCTGTAGTGAGTGGGGAGAAGACGCCACCATTTTTATACTCGACACTGGTCCCAGCAGCGAGCAGCAGTTTGATGCTCTCAAGCTGGTTGGCAAGCACGGCCATCTCCATGACGCCCTTGTAAGCAGAGAGATCAGGGACCAGCGGAAGCAGTTTCTGAAGCAGAGCTGGAGACCGCACGGCCATGCATACAGGCCAATCCTGCCCACGTTGAGCGGGGTTGGCGCCATGTGCGAGCAGGTAGCTTAGCATTTCCGACCGGTTCTCGCGGATGGCCGTAGTCAGTGCAGTATGACCTTGTGCGTTGCGGTCATTCACGTTCGCGCCTCCCTGCTCAACCAACCACTCCAGGGCAGCAGTGTTGTTGACTTGCACGGCCAGCTCTACGATTCCAGGTGGATGAAAAAGATCAGCTCCAGCCGCGATCAAGACAGGTAGGAAATGGAGTCTGTTATGGGTGATACATTTCCAAGCGGGATACTCGGATGCCATGACGTTTGGGTCCGCACCGTGCTCCAGCAGCAGTGTCAGGATGTCGGCCCGATTGTCACGAATGGCAGAGCAGAGGGGCGTGTAGGTACCGTCCTTCTTGTCATTTGGATCGAGGCCGACCTCCAGCAGGGTGCGAACGGCTTCGATATTGTTCATGCTGGTCGCCTGTTCCATGAGACCTGGGGTCTTTTTGATGTCGGCCCCGCTATTTAACAGAAGACGCAAACATGCTGGCCGGGAGATAGCTAGCCATAGGACATGCTCGGGTCCAGGGAGATTCGGATTGGCGCCGTGTTCGAGCAGTGTCGTTACGACGGCAATCTGCTCGGTCTGCACCGCCTCGTTGAGTGCTGTTCTCCCTTGACAGCCCTCCTTGTTTGGGTCGCTGCCGGCATCTAGTAAGAGGGTGATTAGCTCCGGTGGCGCCTGTTGTTTGATAAGCTCGACAAGCACTGTGCTACCGCTTGGCGTTTCAGTATTTGCATTGCCACCATGCGCAAGCAGCAGCTGCACCATATTGAGCTTTCCCTTCGCCAGTGCACGACTCAAGGGAGAGTCTTGTCCCGGCTCCGATACATAATTGGAATCGGCGCGGTACTTCAGCAGCAAGTTCGCTCCGTCGACAAACGACTCATCCACTGCGACAAGCAAGGGCGTCTTTCCCTGCCGGTCCGGTTCGTTTGGGTTGGCACCAAACTGCAGGAGCAGGCGCATCCCCTGAAAATTGTGCTGGTGCACGGCCTCGTTGAGCGGATGGATATGCTCCCCAAGATTGGGCGACACTCCACTGTCCAACAACTGCTCTAGCAACTTGTGGTTCCGTCCCCGGACGGCGGAGGCTAACGCACCGCGTAGTCGTGTCGCACTAGCTCCACTGTTTCGGCTAGGGGTGCGATGTAGCGGGCCAGCGGATGACTCGTATAGCCGGTGATATGTGAGGGTATCCCCAGATATATTATCGTCGAGAGGCGTGATAGTTTCCGCTTGCGGCTCGCGCGAGCTCGTCCGCACAGGATTCCCAGTCAGTCGCAGAGGCTGAGAGCGGGAATTAACTGGGGGCATTGAAAGATGGTCCTGGCCATTGTCATTTGCGATGAGGAGGGAGTCAAGCGACAGCACGGAGGAGAGTATGTCATCGGCATTGGACTGGGGATTTTCTATCGCAACCGAGAGTTGTACTTGGGACTCTTTGGGGGGCACAGAGGGGACTGACGCGGATGACAACGAAGTGGCCACCTCCTTTGATACCTTTTCTAGAGATTTAGCCATGTTGATGCCCATTACCGACCGACCTTTAGCCATACGGTCCAGTGCGGCAGCCAGCCCGGCGTAGCCAATGCCCACCGATTCCTCCATAAATGGCTGTTCGCCAAGAGACCAGTGAAAGGCGAGGACGCTGATTTGAAGTGTTTCGGTTGTCTTTTTCAATGACTCGCGGATGCGGTGCAGTTCGAGGCTTGGGCGATTCCATCCGCGTTGAAGCCTGCCCAGGGCGCCACGATGTTCATACTGAATGAGTTTGGTCACGACCTTGTCCAGACTCTGGAAATCGCGGTACGCGGCCATGAATTTCTTCGCCACCTCCTCCACGATCATATCGGGCAGAGCGCGACCGGCAGCAGTGGATTCGGTGAGACCCGCATCAATGGCCCATAGAGCACGACAGGTATCTAGGAAAGTTTGTGATAGTTCACGAAAACCGTCCGGTAGGTCGTGCTCAGTGCTGAGATAGTCCAGCATATGCACCGAAATGCGATTGCCTAGCTGAGTGGCCTGAGCCGAGACGGTGAAAACGGCCTTTTGAGCAGCCATTGCGTTTGGAGAAGCCAATCTGGTAAGAAATGAAGATAAGAACGGGTTAAAGGGGGAGAGGAGGAGCCTCAGACAGCATCGATAGATGATACTAAAAGAAAAGGAAGAGAAAAGGATTTGGAATCTTTAGAGGGGGTGGGTGAAGGAGGACCAGGAGTCGTCCGCGAGCTAATAACAAAAAAGAGGGTCATGGTGGTGAAGGAACCAACCATCAGGCAGGTGCAGCAGCGATACCTTTCACTAATCCTGCCCAGTTGGGATGATGAATGGATGTAAACTTCGGCGGACTCAAAAGGCTCCCCTGGATGGTGAGAACTAGAGGAGTGGGACCTTCGGCCCAGACCGAGCCGGCTTGAGCCTTCGAGGACAGTGTCTTGGAGTATTGAGAGGATAGCCTCTTTTGGGTCCCACTCGCCTGCTTTAGGTTCACTCATGTGGAGTCCGACGGCCTCGAGAGGTGTGAAATGACTGGGGGAGACATATCGGGTCGCAGTTTCGCAATCTCATAAGCCGGTTCCAATCCTTGGAGGTTTCGAGAGGGAGGCTAAGTTCAAAGGCTGACGCAGGAAGGTCAATGGGAAGTTCAGCTGGGTTAGGTTTAGCACGGAGCCAGGAGTCAATCTAGACGGTTTACAGGTAAGTGGTAGGATAACTACGTAGTAGTAGTAGATAAGTAGCCCATTCTCCCGAACTGCTTCCCGCCCCATAGGTTCTCATTCACCCTTACTGTACGTAGCAGTATCATGTACACTAGTAGGTAGGTAAAGCAAGCCCCTCAAGCATCAGTTCGATGCCTCAGCCTTTTTACTACTGGATGAATTTGTTCCGAGAGCCGCTTCAGGCCAAGAGGATCTATCACTGGCTATTCGGAGCAGACAAAACCACAGATGCCATCCCTCTTCCACCCATCTTATCAGAATCAGAACATGCGGGCCGTGTTGTGAAACCAACAAAGTAAGATTGCGCAATCGAAGGGCGGCGGAATGCGGGGCCGGGCTGGGTCAACAGAAAGTCCGGCTCGAACAGGTATAAGAATACAAATTGGATTAAATTGATTATCAGAAAGTAGTATACTATATCCCGCGTAGAGACAGATTTACCTATATAGACAAGCACACCATCATATTCTCGGCAACCGGCCCATGCAATAAACAAGCCGAAACTCCAACCCCGATGCTCCACATGCAGAAACAAGCGAACAGAAGATGAACCATGAATAAATACACCACCCCTACCAGATCCAATTCAATCCAATCAATCAATCAATCAATCCTAGTCCCTTCAAGCCAGCAGAGAGATAAAGAGAGAAAGATGCAAACTATGCAAAGTTGTATGCAGCGACGAAATTCTATACATGACAAGACGGAACAGAACAAATGTCACTCAATCAGGGTAGGTAGTTGTTACACCTGACCTGGATGATATTCTGCTCTCCAGAGGAGCTAATCACGAAAGCGGTGAGTTTTCCGCCGGCGATACAGCCGGTGTCAATACCCTTTGTATAGGTGTTGATGTTGAGGGCTGTTTCGGAGTCGTGGCCGTAGATGACGGTGGTAGCTTTGACGGCACCTGCATCTTCGTCGTCGTCTTTGTTCGAGCTTTTAGAGCTTGCATAGCCGACGGATTGGTGCTTGTTGAAGAACTATACTGTTATTAGTATCATTGTCTTAAAGCAACATAGTACGGAAAAATTATAAGGGGGACTAACCTTAGTCCACATCATACCATCCCGCTCTGGGCTAGGCATATGGGTGTCCAAATCGATGGTCAACATATTCATCACGCTATACGGGTCCTGATGATTCAGATCCACACCCGGAATCAGTCCCCCATGCACGACCGCAACCTGTCCCATGGTAGGAATCTGTCCCACGTTGAGAATAACTGGGCAGGCGTCTAGCCAGTCTGCTTGTTCGTCTGACAGGACACGCGCGAGATCACGTTCATTCTTGGCCTGCTCTGTAGACTGACCATCGAGGTATTGATCGGAAGAGGTATCAATTAACGTCTGAGCTTCGATCATATTGTGGCGCATAACAAGGACGCGATCTTCGTTGTTTCCGCGCACACATGACGCGGAATACTTTCGGGCGAAATCGACAACGTCAGTGCTGTTGGGGCCCTGGCTAATCATGTTTCCAGTAAAGATGAGGTGATCGTTGGTCGGATCGAAGAGGAGTTCTTCAAGGAGGCGGTCCACTATCAACAAGTTTGTATGTCAGCGATCCATGCATGCATTCAAATACCATGAACTGCATCAAAGGGAGTGAAAAGGGGGCATACACTCTGCCATGCATCCCTGCACATCACCCACAACAATCAGCCGTTCCTCCCCCTCAGGCAAAAGCTCCTTATCCAACTTTTTCACCTGCACAACATCATCAAACCCGGGAAAAGCGTTCGTTCCAAACCATCCACCCACTTCCTCCTTCACCTCTGGATCTAGCGCCCGCAACAACGACGCATGCTCCGCTAGCCGCGGAGAGAGGATATACAGCCATCCCAGCAGACACGTTATGACAAGGATCAAGTACACCACGACATAGCGACGGAAGCGCGGCGCAGTGACAATAGACAGGAAGACTTGGACGACTCGGGACGGTTCAGAGGGCTGGTCGGGGTTGGTGAGATGGGAGTATTTGGCGTTAGTTTGCCATTCGTTGCGCACGTAATCGATCAAGGGTCTTGTGTAGCGCTTAATGCGACCCGTAGGGTGGGGAGAGAAGCGGCCATCATCAGAGGTATCGGAGGAGTATTCGAGGCTTTCGGTGTCGTGATAATTGTTCATATTGAGAGGCGGACAAGTGTTGTTTTGTCTGATTCCGGAGGACGAATGTGGGGGGGAGAGGTTGTTGGTGATGTTGAAGGGAATGTTAAATCAGGAATAAGGCTATGGATAATGGACGCAAAGCAACAGAGAAAAGGAAAAAAAGAGAGAAAGGGAAAGCAGCGACGATCAGAACCGATCGACAACACGGCCTTCGTTGTGGAATGGCAAGGGAGGACACAGTACGGGCCCAGCCGCGTCGGTGAAAGAGAGATAATGAAATGGCCCCAGATGGCGGAATGGAGCGAAGGACCCAAGATGTGGAAGGGACAGAGTTCCCGCAGTCTTGTGACGCCTTACTCGAAACATGAGTGTTTCCCTGATTTAACCATTTTTGGGTTAGTGCTAGGGTGCCGTCCCTCTTGGCCTGAGCACCACTAGTCCGAACATGGTTTAGGTGTTCTATTCTGGGCAGGCGCGACTCGTCAGGGTCCAAATCGAGCATTCAATGCGTATTATTCTTACTCAGTGTGCGAGGCTGAGCAGATAGATAGCAGTCGGGATAAAATGAATAAAATAGTTTTCCAGGCTCCGGAGTGGTGTTGCTATTTCGTATACCAAGATAACCGCATTTTGGTTTATCCAACACTTTATAAAGTATCACCCGTTCTATATGCAAATAATATGGACATACATCATCTTAAGTGTCAAGGGAAAATTAAAGGATTTTGACCGGACTGGATTGTGATCAGAGGATCTATAGAAATTGTATAGTTATTTTCATACAAGTATGCTCAGTATCATGGTAGTGTGTGTAAACCAATATAATCTGCTCTGAATCTATCAAGTTGTGGCAAAAACACAGTCAGCTATGTACATCACGGAAATCAGGCGCTTTTAGATAACATTAGAAGACCACGAGACGGATGATTGTGCTGGTAGCTCAAAAGGGCCTTCCTGAGATCCGGACCTTTGATCTGATTCAACGAAAGCACTCTTTTCCGGGCCCAGCTCATAGAAGGGCCCTCTTTCGAAGCCCATCTCATGTCTTTCTTGGCTTTGTAACTCATTTACGTGGTTCCATAAGTTATCGGGCGCCTCCACAGGCATCAACTGATGAGCTGAGGATCCGTGATCTGTGTGTTCTGTCGTATGACTTTCGTCTGAAGTGGATGCTTTTTTTTGTTGTCGACAGTGATGGATGTAGAACCCAGAGAGAATAGCAATTATTGACAGCCCGCCAATAGTGCTGCCGACAATTATGCCGATTTTGACAGCCACTGAGAAACCTTTCCCGTCAGTAGATGGACCGCTCATTGATGTACTTGTTGTATTTGCGTTTGTCGTATTTGCATTCGAAGTAGAACCTGCAGGTATTGCCTTCCAGGTGCTCTTCCAGGTGGCTTCCCAGCTGTTTGTTGTTGCCGAAATAGTGGAATCATTGTCACCTATTGACACGGTATCGACAATGAAGGAGCCTCCCGGTCCTGGTGCTTGAGCTAGAAACCACTTTCCACCAAGCCAATTGACTCCTATAAAAGCTGCTTGAAGGAAAGCACGTCCTAGAACGGGAGTGCTATTGGTAGCCATGCACGGGAAATATTGCGTTGGTGTCTTCACAAGCGGGGCCTCTAGTGTGAGATTCAGAAGAGCGAAGGGAACTTTAATCATGATGAAGTCATTGTTGAGATTATCCTTGCTGAATTGGAAACCTAGGTAACCTGGCGAAGTTGCAATGGTATCGTACTGTGAGTCAGATGTGTTCCAAAAGTAGAGGCCATAATCAGGGTGGTATGTCACAGGCAACTCAGCGGCTATCGCATCGCATGAGCTCTGAGGCAGATATATATATGGGTTTGCTGGGTCCACAATGACGCTGAGACCAGAGTCCAGGGAGGAATTACCCTGTGCCAATAGCCCTGTTTTGTTCGTGTAATTCCAAGGAGACCCACCCTCTGCTACTCCGATATTCAGATCGAGCAGCCTAATTGGGAAGCTTCCACTTGAAAATGCCTGGGAGGACACCTTGCCCATCACTCTATTCTGATCATAACCCCCTAAAAGCAGCGATCCAGGAATTCCTAGAGATGCGGAGCCAATATGCATACCGTAAGAATAAGATGGTATGCTTAGTGATCCCTCTTGCTCATAGAAATAGCTGGTGACAAACGTTGTGTTGATCTTGATCACATTTCCAAATGTCTGATTGATAGCTGGGCATCCAAGGGATAAGATCCCTACCTCCAGTGGGTATGCTTGCCCACCAGGATAAGTCTGCCACCCCGAGTATATTATGATCATATCAACATCAGGTACGGGTGAGCCGCTGATGGTTATATAGTCTGTTGCTCGTCTTGCTTTAGCGTAAACAGGAGCTGCGTCCGTGAAACCCCAATCCACATCACCCCAAGTCCCATATGGAGGCATCTCTATCGAGGTATTATCCAAGCTGGCTGACATGTCGCTGTCAAAGAGGCCAGCTATATCCCCATAACACACGGACGAGAGTGTTTTGTTGTCGCAAATTGAAGATAATAGGATCTTACTTTCCCAACTACCTCCCGGGTATAAAGCCACCTCCGAGGAAGGAACAACGATTTCGGTGTAGTTACTCCCAATTTGCACTGTGACCGCTTGCCAGGGGCCATCAGGCCCAAACTTCTTATTTGACCAGGGCATCACTCGGGGACCTGAGCAGAGAACATATTCGAGGCATAGGGTCCAAAAGGCAAAAAAGCACTGCTGATGTCGTCGTCGCATCCCTAAGGACGAAAACCTGTTAGAAAACCCTGAGCCGTGCTAACAGAAGACATGTCTCTGAATGGCCTGACTCGACAGACATTCTAGGAGAGCGAAGTAGCCTACCGATAAATATTGAAGATTCTGGTGTAAATTGACTCAGTAAGCAATATAGCCGCCGCCGCCGCCTCCAGGCTGAGCTGAGGTACCAAACACAGGTGAAGAGGTGATAATGTCGCGCTTAATCTTAGGATGACTGCTAATAGTTATAGCATTCTGAGCATTCTGAGAATGCGCATATCTCAGATGAAAGGGTCAACTTGAGTCGACAAAAGACGAATACTTGAACTGAGAGTCAGGTTGGATAACTGTCAGCCAACTAGATTAAGTACAGGCCCATCTAAGCGCCCCTAATATGCCAGTTGTTATTCATAGCCGCACGAGTCCTTATAGTGGGGTTGCATGAGAACCCACTGACCAGTGAACAATGGATGTGCACCTAGGTAGTACCACTTCTAGGTGCAAGAACCATTGAGGGGAATGTATGGCATTCAGTGGCGCTTACTTTAATCTTATTACTGCTTCAGGCGGAAGTCGCAGGAGTACTATACGATTGCTTGCTCACATCTTGGATAGATGGTAAAATGTCAATCGCTCTTACCTCAGCATGTGTAATTGTTGACTCTCAACTGAATCTGCTTGGAGATGATGACAAGGCTGGGAATGAGCAAGGACCCTGAAGCCTTAGTAGTTGGCTCCACCCAATGCATGTTAGCGCTGTGCTGGGCACGGGCCATCATTCGTTCCAATCAGTAGCTGCGGTGGGTTATAGCGTGCTTCAGATCATGCATGGGCAGCGCTTAGCCGCCCATTCGCAGCCACCCGGCGCTGTCTACCAGCCGAGGGGCTGCCTCGAGGCTGATGGGGGGTTAGTTTCGTTAATTGCACCTTTACAACACTCTTTTATTTTCTTTAGCCTTCAAAAACGATGCACAAAACTTGGAGTAAAGACTCTTGGGTAACTTGCTCTCAAGTCTTGCCATCAGCTACTACAGAAAAATGTTCACAAGAACTCCGAAAGTCTTCCGCGCCTTCTTCTTAGTTGTATCCACTCTTCTGGGGTTTGTGACATTGTTACGACTTCCAAAACGTCCAGACGCTACACGAAACCCCGATTCTTATCACACCGGACTGTCTAGGGAGCGCATTGACTGGTCCCGTTTTGCGTACACTCAATATGCCACAGACAGGTCTTATCTCTGCAATTCAGTCATGATCTTCGAGGCCCTTCACCGTCTCGGTACAAAAGCCGATCTTGTGCTGATGTATCCCTCCAAGTTTCTCGTGTCTGAGAATGATAGTTCAATTGAAGCACGTTTGCTTCGTTTTGCAAGAGATAATTATAACGTGAAGCTTCGGCCAATCGAGGTAATCATGAAGGGAGGAGGAGGAGGCAAGTCAATTCTTTGCGCTGCAAGACTAAATACTAACTATGAGCGCAGCACCATGGTCAACGAGCTACACGAAGCTCCTCGCTTTTAATCAAACAGATTATGACAGAGTTCTCAACTTAGACTCTGACGCCACCCTGCTGCAGGTTTGTGGCCCAGTCATGGCGTTTCTCATCGCATCTAACACACACGCAGACGATGGACGAGCTGTTCCTACTCCCACCAGCTCCGGTCGCCATGCCATTGGCCTACTGGTATTATCCGGAAGAACGAGTATTCACATCCGGGCTTATGCTCATTCAACCATCCACGGATGAATTCAATCGCGTGTTGGAAGAGATATGGGACAATCCTTCTGAAGAATACGACATGGAGATTGTGAACAAGTTATACGAAGATAATACTCTCGTTATACCGCACCGCCCTTACATGCTTTTGACAGGAGAATTTCGCGCCAAGAACCATGAGGCCTATCTGGGAAATACATATGAACCGTGGGATGCTGACAAAGTTCTAAGAACAGCTAAATATCTCCATTTCTCTGACTGGCCAGTTCCCAAGGTACGTTAACAACAAAGATTTGGTACCCTACGGACCCCTTGATAATGTGCTAAGTCTGGCGCTAGCCATGGGTTGCCGCTACTCAACATGTGATCGAGCAGACCCAGCCTCCTTGCGAGGTCAACCCTGCTACTGGTCAGCGAGATGACTGCCATCTCCGAGAGATCTGGCTAGGGTTTTACAAAGAATTTATGAATAGGCGACAGGTACTTCCAACCTGGCTTCAATTTAATTTCCGCCGAGGACACTAACGTGAACAGAGCATATGTGGCACTGCTATACAAGCCCAGGATGCTCAATAACAGGTCGATCCTCCTTTGACATCATTTTTATGATGGATGTAAATAACATAACACTGATTTCTGAACGCTGGACGCTCTTGTGTATAACATGCTTTTCTTTTTATATCTAGCTATTCTCTGTCTCTCAATAAGCCATGAGAGTCAAATTTGTTCAGCATTCACGTTCGAGCTCTACTTTTGAAGACGTTCAATTGGTTTATGATCCGCGACCTACTATAATAGATGAAATTGTTAGAACCATCTTATAAGTACTAATTATATTTGGATTAACACTCTGTCAAGCAGTGGCTGTTGCGTCAGCGTTGTTGGGACTCGTCCGTTTGATACTCAAACTTGGAGCAGGGGTTATCTATGGCAGTCAAATAGAATATCATATAAGAACCTGGGAATGCTAGGAATAAACAACGAACAATGATGCTGAAGGGTGCGGACGATCAGGGGTTGTCCGGAAAGCTCAGGTAAGTTATCACTTTCAGCACTTAAGGACGCGCGGTCATATTAACAATTAACCCTTAATATCAGTTTATACTACAATATCGCCCATGGTTCCTCCTTGCCTGGATATTCTAATTGTATAGAAATGATATCAAAGACATTTCGCCACGTATATTAGACTCTTACAATATACTGCAAAGAAGATAATCAGATTAGAAATTTCTGGCAGACGCTTCAGTAGTACATCAATACTATACATCTTCTAATCAGAATATTCTAAACTTTATCTACTGTCAGCCCAGCCATCATCGATATCTTCTAGCTGCCACTTAGCTCCAATATCAACTAGTCTCGCCCTTCCAGCCAGAACATCCTCCTGCCTCACTTGATACTCGACTGCCATGTCTGGATGTGGCACCCAAGCTACTCATATCCCAGCTCGTCTTGCAGCCTCCAGTCCAATTACGCTATCTTCTAAGACCAAACACTCATTGGGCGAGATGGGGCTTTCACCAGAATCTGCAGCTGGATTGAACGTCAGCCGGCTTCCCTCGACCCTGTCGCACTCGTGGATCATCACCCAAGACCTGCCTGTCACACTGTAAAAAGCCAAGCAGCTGTCTTGTTTCAGGGCTCGAGGTTCTCAACTTGTAGCTATGACTCTTGGTGCCAGGTGCTAGTGCCATCTGTATCTTGGTCCCTGAAGAAGCACTACTCGTTGGTGTCTTCGCGTCATTAGCGATATTGCTCGTGAAACTCCATCTCCCGTTGGCGCTTCTGCACCATTTCAATCGTCTTGGAATCGTATACCTCCTCCAGCCGCTTACCACCCAGAAGCACTTCTTTTTCATGCCGTACAGCTTCATCCTTAGTCATACACACTAAATCCTTCAACTCAAGCGGAACAAAGGTCTGCCCCTGCTTCATCCACTCCGGATCAGGTCCGAATCCTCTCTCAGGCCGCTCCCAGGGAACAAGACTGACTCGACTGGGGAGGCCACTGACCACGCTCTTGCCGCGGAAGATCTCATCGACCAGATATCCGACGTCATCCTTGCTGATGGGAAGGCGAAGCCCGACAAGGCTAGGGCCATGCTCCGCCCGGGCCAAGCGCTCGAGCGTTCCCTGCAAGGCTGCCAAGACACCATCGTACAACTTATCACGACCCTTTCCGCCCACGCTGTAGTCCATCGGATAGCCGGAGATGTCGCAAATGACGTGGTTCGCCACGGTGTAGCCAAACACTGCAGGCATTGTTCCCAGCACAGGGAGGATCCGCGCCCGAAAATCGGGCAATACACTCAGTTCACCCACTTCTCCTTTGCTGAATTCCGCCTCATTCAGAGGAAGAAGAGTGGCTTTTCCAGGACCGGGCTTTTCGGTGGAGAAAACAACAGGGATCCCGGTATTCACGCCTAACAACTTAAGGCGTCGCCGAGTGCTCCGCGACAGCGGATCATCCGTACTAAGTGAAATATCACCAACCGTAACACGGGTAGGGTCTGACTTGCATCCTGCTCCCATTGCCGAAATCACGGGAATAGAGTGTGAGTGGCAGTAATGAAGCAGCTCCACCTTGGACGTAATGTTATCAATGCAGTCCAGTACATAGTCAGGCTTGTGTCCTTTGTCGTTGTCGTCCCAACTCCAAGGCGCAAGAAGACGGTCGGCCACTGATCCCCCAAATAGTTCGTTTCGGCAGTCAAACTTCACCCACGGTGTGATCTGCTCCAGTCTTTTGCGGATACAATGCACCTTCGGCGTTCCGACATCGGCCAGCGTCGCGAGAGCATGTCGGTTTAAGGAGGAAAGCGTGACCTGATCAAAATCGATCAGGCGGATCTTGGAAACACCCGAGCGGGCAAGGGATGCCACAGCATGCGACCCGACTCCTCCACATCCGACAACGATTATGTATGACGAGCGGAGCTTCGCGAGGCCTTCATCGGACAGGAAAACACGGTTTCGGGCAAGTTGTTCGAGGATGAGCTCTATACAGAAATTGAATTAGCCAAATAACATAACGACAATTGTAGGGGGGTATTCCAAGGAAGAGCCAGTACCATCATCATAGTCTCCTTCCTGCGCTCTCCGAGCGAGGAGCGCACTGCGTTCATCTTCCTTGCTCAGCTGCGCTGCAGCCGCGACACCGTATTCTGTGAGCTTCGCGAAAGTTAGACAGATTTACTATGATATAATGCGAAAAACCTAGGATACCTTTTCAACATGGTGTTGGTCATTGACATCTGGGATGGATGCCTTGAGGCGCCGCACTGCATCCTTCCTTTTGAGAGCCTGGTAGCCAAGTATCGCACCAGCGACCGCAGCTCCCGAAATCACTGCTGTAGCCGCAAGCTGTGTCTGATGAGATCCACTCTGGCGTTGGATCCAGGATGCCATTCTTTCTTATATATCTTTTTATACTGTATGCGCAACCTTATCCATATGCGATCCGATTTTGACTGCGGCGATTCTTTTTAAATTGTTGGAGCGATCTACAGCAAGTCTAACGGTTATTCACATGTTAATTAAAGAGAAGACGTAAGAGGGAGCCCAATGAGAATTTTTTTGACCAGCAATAACTCACCATAAAGGAGTTCCCCATGCAGAGGAAGACGGTGCTGAATTTATCAATTACGTATTGCCCATCGCAGTTGAGCTCAAGTGGCACCTTTAATGCGGGTCACGTGCATTAAAGGACCACGCGTTGTTCCCGCGAAGCAGCACACAACATGTAGATAGGGAATGGACTGCTAGCAGTGGAAGAAGAACACCTGATTGAGTGTGATGACTGAAATTGAACAGAGACCTAAGAGTCTATCAAAGCTACTTCTTTTCGGTGGAGAATTCATTTCTCTTATCCTTGTTGGTAATACCAATGCGGTATAGAAGAATAAAAACTGATACCAATTGAATTGATTCGATCATGTCGTGACCGTCATTCAAGAAGTGATTGTCAACCACGATAACAGGTCACAGGGGTTGACGATGCCCAGTGCTACGGCATAGGCAGCGGCCATTGGAGATACTTATTATGCCCATTCACTTATCGTACAATCCATCGACGCCAATGTGCAGTCAAAATTATCCAGGTCGTTTATATACAATCTGCGAAACCCGTAACCACACCCGAAACACCATGCCAAATACACACTGAAATCAACTAGCAGGAGAAACTGGAACACCCTCTGGTGCCGCCTCCAGAGGACCTTGGGGTTTCTCCCGAGGCGGCCAGTTTGGCGCCGGATAGCTTAGCAATTTACACACGTCCTGTCGGCCATCATTAGCAACAAGAACACACCAACCAGACAGGAGAGATAAACAAACCCTTCGTTTCCGCCGGAAATCATCGTAGAGCTTCTTCCAAATCTCACGATCCTTGCACCCACTCTCATGCATCGTGCCCGGCTTGACTTTACACTTGGGCAGCATATCGGCCAACAATTCCTGCGGCCACATCACCCACGGCTTGGGCAGCGGCCAGTCGGAGAAATGGACCAGCTTCGCTTCCGCTAGTACCTTTTCCGGATCCCATTCTTCATGCTCATTACCCAGGAACGCCCGATGGTCGTCTTTGCGAAACTCGCCGGTGACCAGTCCGTACTGTCGGTGCGGCAGAACCAAGGCCGAATCCGCGTACCGTTCGTTCATCAGTTCCATATCGTACTTAACTCGCGAGCTGACGTTCGAGTCGACCTGTCCGTACGAAATGGCCTGAGCCTTATCCATCAACGCATACCACTCTTTGTAGGACGGCTGGAGGACAATCAAGAGAGACGAGAGCTGCTTGATATTAGGCAGTTCCCAGTAGGCGCGGGGCATGGCGACTTGAGAGGGCGGGAGGAAGAACAATTCGTCCATGTTCTGTAGAACGCTAACGTCGGAGTCGATGTGAATGACACGTTCGAATTCGGTCTCTCCGAAGGCAAGAAGCTTGGAGATGCTCTTGTCCCAGGACTCGCTTGGTCCTATTCTTCCTGCATTAGCTCCTGACGCCGTTGACAGCTCTAACCGTTGTAATGAATGTCCTACCCGATCCAGCCTTAACCATCTGCACATCAATCGGCACCAACAGCACATTGTATTTCTCCTGGGCCATCGCCAGCAGTTGGCTGTCCCGGTCGCGATCGTCATCTACCAGCACGTCCCAGTTCTCGGGGTAGAAGAGCACCCGCTGCGCTCGGCTGCCAAGCCGTTGCAGAGTATCGAAGACGATAAGCGCATTGCACAAGTATGGGCTGGACGTCGCATACTGGCTGTAGGCGTAGAGCGACCAATCGACTCGGTCGTAATCAATATGAGGAAGGGGCGGAGGCGGAGGTTTCTCTCGTCGCAGCAATAGGACAAACAGCACGAAGACGAAGATGGCGAGCCAGGCCCGCGGCCTCTTAAGATAGCGGAGCTGGCGCTTGATGATGGACCAGCAGGGCTCTTCGGGAATGTCGAAGAAGTCGGCTTCGGAGGCGTCTGAGCCCCGGCGGTAGGGTAGGACGGGGCCTTTCTTGCCTGCCATGTTGAGTTGAAGTAAATCAATTGAAGGGAAGGGACATCTTTAGATGATGGTTGACGCGTATCCTCCTCGTCGATCACTACTACTCCGCCATCTTCAGGGAGGCAATCGCCGCCATGATCTGGAGTGTTAACTAGTTAGTTAGTTATGCTGGTTGTGCTGGCTTTGTCAGCTATCCTGCGGATAAAAAAACGCCCAATCAGATCCGGTCGGTTCCAGACCACTGTAAGGTACTTACTTCCAAAGTACTAACTGTGCATTCTGCAATGCCGTTGAATCACCAATATATACTAGTATCATTTAAGTCTACCAATAGACAAGCTGATGATGCAGTAACCGCTTTTAACAGGGTCGTAAGTAATTCAACCCCGGTGTATCCCGTACGAGGTGTACACAGTATCCTATTCCATTCACCAATATCATCGGCGCGTGTCTTTCTCCGTTGCCCCGTAGTTTAGTCAGCACATGCGCATTGTTCTCGAAAGACAGAGAGATAAAAGAGAAAATAAAGCATAAGCTATGTGCTAGTGTGACGTAGTTGGGTTTGTATTGAAATCTTCCTGCTAATTAACTTATCATTCGCTTGGCGCAGCACGACCCTTTTGGCGCAATTTAGCTGGGTATTCGCGACACCCGCCGAGAGATTACTCCGGAGGACTAAACCTCTCCACCCACTTCAGTCCGTCTGCCTGTTTCCCCCGTCGCCAGTATGGAGCTTTCCCGCATTATCCTCGCCATCGTCGTCTACTTTGGTAAGCCATACGAACGGCGCGTTTCATCTGCCTGCTTACTGACGCCGTACAGTCCTCCGTTTCATCCGTACTCGCTTCTTCGGCAGCAACACCACCGGATCCACCATGTCTCACGGAAAGGTTATCGAGGTTGACAAGTGAGTCGTCTTCCTAACTCCCCCTCCGCAGATAGTAATTTTGGCACTGACTGGTCCAGCCCCGTCATCTTCAAGGCGCTCACCTCCAACGGTCCTGTGGTCGTGGACTTCTTCGCAACCTGGTGTGGTCCGTGCAAGGCCGTTGCGCCAGTGGTCGGCAAGCTCAGCGAAACCTACAACAATGTGCGCTTCATCCAAGTCGACGTCGATAAGGTCCGCTCGGTGGCACAGGAACTGGAGGTGCGCGCTATGCCCACGTTTGTCCTGTACAAGGATGGTCAGCTGCAGGAGAAGCGCGTCGTGGGTGGAAACATGAAGGAGCTGGAGGCAGCCATCAAGGAAATCACGGCATAAGAGGGTAGCAATAAAGGAGGGATAGCCGAGCCCGCAGAAATGGAAGGAGAGAAAGTAAAATACAAGCCCAAGTCCATGTGATGATGGTGGACTCAGTGATGTATCCTTGCTTGTTCATTGAGCGCTATCGTAATCTCTAATAGCGGGAAGATAGCTGCGGACCAACTAGCCACACGCAAAGCCTCCAAACATCCAATATTTGCATCTACCATCTGTTCATTTACTGTTAAGGCTACTGTTAAGGCTACCAGGGATCGGAGCCGTCGACTGGTAGCTGAATAGAAGGCGGAATATCTTCGACAGGACCTGATTGACGCGGGAAGTGACGCGGAATATGACTGCGGGGCACGACACTAATATACAGTCGGTCTCGCAATTACTCTGTCCTTTAAACACATGACGATTGTTTTTTAGTCCCACTGCCAATATCTAGTACGTAGAAGAGTTATACAGGGTACACAGTAGAGAGCCACCCGCTTGGAAAAGAGGGTGGCCGTAAATTTATTATGGTACAATACATGAAATGCATAAAGGACGGTATTGATTTATGCCCTTATGTATATGGCTTATTAATTTGCACAATGCCACCCTGACAATGTTAATAACGGGGGATAACTAGTTAGTTATCCATGGAAGAACATGGAACTTCCCGCCCCGACACCGTAGGTCTGAGGGAGCCAGGCAGCTCCTGTTCCTGCTCCTTCGCAGACGGGCCATGTGGCATTAACTTTCTCTTTCTGGCAACTACATATCTCTCAGCCTTGTCGTAACTCATGCAGTTGATAAACGCACAGAAAATCTTCTGTTGTCTGATGTGACAAATAAGGCAGTTATCTTATTCACTCGCCCGCAGCTGTTGTTTGCTAATTGATGTTCGCTGGCGAGCAACAGCTGCTGAGGCAGTGTAGTGTGCGAATTTCGACCAGAGACTGCCTTGCTGACCATAGGATTCCCGATTGCTGAAAGAGATGAGCTTGAATTTGTTTAGCCCTCGAAATAATGATAATGCTTACCAACACGAACTGTGGCAATGTGATGAGTCGCCATGGTATGCACCCACTCCCGGAAACTTCAGTTGTACCTCCTCGCTGTCAAATCTTAGCCTTATTGACGCCAACTCTTTGTCCCCCTTTGAGTACCCCGCTCCTTAAACAAGCACCTCCCGCACAGATAATCTTCCGCTCCTCTAATACGGAGACTGGGTTAAAGGGAAGACGTATGATGAGGACCCACCCACCTGTATTCACTATTGGACTGAGTGGAAGGTGACTCTCAACACCAAGACTGTGATTAAAGATACAGAATGAGACCTGGTTCTTGCTCCTGGTTTTTATTGGAGGTTGTTTTTCCAACCAAAATTGAGAGAAAAGCTATGCCTCAAATATCCACACGAAAAGATTGCATTAGACGACACGTCCATTGTGGTGACGGTTCCTGGGCGTATCACTTCCTTGTGGGTAAGAAATTGAAGCTCCTAATATCTTTTTACTATGTAGATGATAACCAAGGTGCTACAGCCAGTCGCAGGGCGACTGACAAACAAGGTGCATCTTCTGCCACCCAGGGTATGCTTCGGGAATATCTCAAGTAAGCCCTCGTTCAACCAGTGATAAGTTCTTTCTTGCCGCTGTGACCCCGCATTAGTCATTCTGGCCTGGCCAGCTGGTCTTACATCAGAACGACCATCAACTTGCACTGGAAGAAATTCTCATCCCTTTCCCAACAACTCAGGTGAAGAGTACGAGAACTGCTTGCTACTATTGCATTTTTTTTTCTTCTTCTTTTTCTTTTTTTTTTTTTTTTTTTTTTTTTTTTTTTTTTTTTTTTGAAATTCTGGCTCACAATGACTTCCGGGTCGGTTTCTGCAGGTTGGATACATGGAGCGTTTGTGGTAAGTATCAAATTCAAACAGACAATAAAAGGGCACAATATTCAATGAAGGTTAAGGTAGTAAGTAGTACATCGAGGAGTAAGATATGCTGATGAATAACAAAGCTTTACGTTTGCTTCAGGAGGTAAGTCAAACCCACAGAAGAGTATATTGGATGCGATAATGGCTGACAGGGATATGATATTGGTATAGAGAGTAAGTCAGCCTCCCAGGGAAGAGTATATTGGATGCGATAACGGCTGACAGGGATATGATATTGGTATAGAGAGTAAGTCAGCCTTCCATGGAAGAATATATGGGATGCGGTAACGGCTGACAGGAATATGATAATGGTATAGCTGGTAAGTCAGCCTTCTATGGAAGAATATATGGGATGTGGTAATGGCTGACAGGAATATGATAATGGTATAGGATGTAAGTCAGCCTTTCATGAAAGAGTATATTGGATGCAGTAATGGCTGACAGGGATATCATATTGATATAGAGAGTAAGTCAGCCTTTTATTAAAGAATATATTGGATATAATAATGGCTGACAGGGATATGATATTGGTATAGCTGGTAAGTCAGCCTTCTATAGGAGAATATGTTAGATGTAATAATGACTAACAAAAATATGATACTGGTATAGAATGTAAGTCAGCCTTCCACGGAAGAGTATATTGGATGCGGTAATGGCTGACAGAATATGATATTGGTATAGAGTGTAAGTCAAACCCACAGAAGAGTATATTGGATGCGATAATGGCTGACAGGGATATGATATTGGTATAGGAGGTAAGTCAGCCTGCCAGGGAAGAATATATTGGATATGATAATGGCTGACAGGAATATCATATTGGTATAGGAGGTAAGTCAGCCTGCCAGGGAAGAGTATATTGGATGCGATAATGGCTGACAGGAATACCATATTGGTATAGAAGGTAAGTCAGCCTGCCAGGGAAGACTATATTGGATACGATAACGGCTGACAGGAATACCATATTGGTATAGGAGGTAAGTCAGCCTGCCAGGAAAGAGTATATTGGATGCGGTAACAGCTGACAGGGATATGATATTGTTATAGAGAGTAAGTGAGCCTGCCATGGAAGTGTATATTGAATGCGGTAACGGCTGACAGGGATATGATATTGGTATAGGAGGTAAGTCAGCCTTGCACGGAAGCATATATTGGATACGGTAACAGCTGACAGGGATATGATATTGGTATAGGAGGTAAGGCAGCCTTGCACGGAAGCATATATTGGATATAGTAACGGCTGACAGGGATATGATATTGGTATAGGAGGTAAGTCAGCCTTCCACGGAAGCATATATTGGATGTGGTAACGGCTGACAGGAAAATGATATTGGTATAGCTGGTAAGTCAGCCTTCCACGGAAGAGTATATTGGATGTGGTAATGGCTGATAGGAATATGATATTGGTATAGATAGTAAGTCAAACCCACAGAAGAGTATATTGGATACGATAATGGCTGACCAGGATATGATATTGGTATAGATAGTAAGTCAGCCTTGCACGGAAGAATATATTGGATATGGTAATGGCTGACAGGGATATGAAATTGGTATAGCTGGTAAGTCAGCCTTCCATGGCAGAGTATATTGGATGTGGTAATAACTGACAGGGATCTAATATTGATATAGGGAGTAAGTTAGCCTTCCATGGAAGAGTATATTGAATGTGGTAACGGCTGACAGGGATATGATATTGGTATAGAGAGTAAGTTTGGCTTGTCTTTAACCAGGTCATGTATGGCTGTCCTCTATCCCTTTCTGCGTTGTTAATCATAATGCCAGCATGAATGGTCGTGTAAAACTGATACTGAAATCGCGGACCTTATTGCTGCTTGCAATGAATCCCTCCGCCATTCAAAAACCGCTCCCAGAGTATGTGTATATTCTATACTTTGAAACCCACACAATCTGACTTCATGCAAGCAATATTCTCGTCATGGACACTATTCTGAAATTGTTAACCATTACTTGGTTCACCGAGCCATAGATGGTGCCTATATCAGTGTAGACAGACGCCAGTCTTCCACTTTATGCATCTCAAGCTACTCAGGTAAAGAGGCCCTTTTATTGGGTCCTTTTATTTCTTATTAATACGAAATTATGAGCAGATCTGCAAAAAGAATACAAAGAATCAGGATATACCCATGGTTTGCCGATTATCAATCGCTTTGATGTGCTTCGCCAATGGCTTAAGGTGTGTGACAAGCAGCATTCATGCATGGAGAACAGGCGTCAGAACGTGCCAAAGCGCGTTATTGTCGTGGGAACAGATCATTCAGATCAGCTGTACCTTCAGGAGTCCGCACGCATAACACAACCATTTGACTATATAACGCTATCGCACTGCTGGGGCACACCGACCAACGAGGAGAAGGAGCGATTTTGTACTACATCTCAAAACTACCCGGAACGATTAAAGGGATTTAGTTATCACAGCCTTCCCAAGGTTTTTCAAGACGCTATTACAGTGACCCGAGAACTTAACAAGCAGTATCTTTGGATTGATGCTCTTTGTATTATTCAAGGAGACGACAATGATTGGAAGAAGGAAGGTGCAAGAATGGAAGAACTATATTCTTCTGCATACTGTACTATTGCGTCAAGTTCAGCATCCGGATGGAATAATGGCTTCCTCAATCGGACTCAGGATTTTAGTCAATTACAGGAAGTCAGTTCCGTTCAAAAGATCATTGATAACTTCCGTGAGCTTGTTGATGAAGGCCAACTGCATACACGGGCTTGGGTATTGCAAGAAAGAGCACTTTCTCGCCGAACTATCTATTTTACTGCACAACAGACCTACTGGGAGTGTGGACATGGCGTTCGTTGCGAGAATTTCAGCAGAATAATATGGTAAGTCTACCTTACATTAGATGAAATTTGGTTAATACTAATTATGCTAGTCCTATTACTAGAGCATATCTGCTTGACCCGCATTTTCCTAATCGCCTCTTAACTTCAGGTTGTAAAGTGACAGTAATGTTTCTCCAAGAGCTTATCACTGACTACTCTCGTCGTGATATTACCTATCCAGAAAAAGATAAGGTCGTTGCTTTTTCCAGCATAGCTAAGCGTATTGCAGAAGCTTTATCTACTAAAGTCAGCTTCGGGATCTTTGATTGCATTTTACCTCGGCTTCTCTTATGGAAGCGGGCTGGCAAGCATTTTGATCCCATTTTTGACAAGGATAAAAGTGTGCCATCATGGTCTTGGATGTTCTATAATGGAAAGGTTGACTTTTTGGCGTATTCAACTATCCGGGTTCCACAATTTCAAAGCCTAAACTTCGACGACTCAATGCGCAGCATCAACATCGAAGTTCGAGAATTTGAGTATCACCATATGTCAGGAAGGGATAGAGAGTATATGATTTACGCTGATATTGGGGAAATCGGCTGCCTATATTTCGACACGGATTCGGCGGCTGAGATTGAGTCTCGGAACTGTGTTGTCATCGCAATGTCTCATGACGATAAGGATGACCCTTACAAGCAATACTATATACTTGCCGTACAAAGAAGATCGGGAGAGGAAGAGTATGAAAGGCTAGGAGTTGGGCAGGTGCGAGCAGGCTATGTCTCGAAAGAAAGTACTTCTGGAAAGCTTCTATGACCCGGCTGTTTCCTTTTTGTTCCTGTCATTGGACAAAAGCAGCATGATAATACGACGACTCTTTTTTCGCTCAAGTTGAATGAAATGAAGTGGGATTTAGACGAAGCTTCCTTGTCTTTTGCAAATAAATAAACAAAAGGCAGGCTATCAAATGTATCTCGGGTTAGAACTGTATCTCATTTCTGCTTGCCATGCTGTCATGAAGACCCCACTTGCTCTGGGGTATATCAACGGTTGGAGTCTCTTGTATATAACAATAGGAGTATTATATAATCAAATAATTTCTCTTTCAGTTCGCCGTCTCTTATAATTCCTGTGTAGAAGAGGCCTGGGTTATAAGGCTTATTCGTGATTCTTCTCTTATTGAACTGTCTCTTTGAATCCACTAGTCGAGGAAAACGCCCGGCTTACCCTGCTATTTGCTACATGGAGGCCAATCATGTCCCGTAGAAACTGCCATTCCGTCTAGGTACAACGATCTGCAGGAGCTATTCGCCTAAGGTCTTCAGCATGGTTGCTGTCATTAGTATCACTGGCCTAACTTATGTTTGGGAGTTTATGACTGCCTGCTTCCTGCGCTCGGCAGCTTCACTGGCTTTCGAAATTGACATGCCGCGACTGACTGCATATCACAGATAAGCTAAATCTGTGCTGGCGATAGGTGGGGAGACATCGCTCTAATATTTTCTGTACCACGGTATAGGAACTCTGAGGAGGCTTTAGGGAAGAACTGAAAAACAATGGTACTAATATGGATACTTAAGCGTTTGTTCCGGCCATGGAAGCTTCTAGGTTTCTGTAAAAAGTTTACACGTACCGTAACAACAATGTAGTATGGTAATTTTACTTACAAAACGGAACCAATGGTGCCAAGGAGTCTTATTGCAAATTAAACGTATTAGGACTAGCGCTGGAAGGCTAGGGATTGGGAGAGTAAGGTGAGCGTCAAGGGGTAGGCATGGTGGTTTTGCAAACTACTATAGACTCTGGGAAAGTACTGTACCAGCAGGTAACATGAGGAAAAAGCCCGATCCATCAGTCTAAAGGCAATAAGATACGTACTGTACTCCGAGGATACGGCTCCTTTCTGAATTGAGACCGTGGTGATGTGCCGAGCGGAAACTAAATTCGGCCCGATGGCGATCCCTCCAGCGGGTAATCCCGAAATCACCCAAAGGACACCTGAAAACTCTGCAAGAGACGATAGCGAGCAGACGCTGGCACCAGCCCATAGGGGCAGGACAAGGAGAACACAAAACATTACGATTCTGTGGAAGCAATATGATGATAACTAACTATTGTGTGTGTGTGTTGACTAACTAGCTGACTACGCGAGGAGGTGACTGTGTGGCTAGGTGACTAGGTCCGAGATCACGTGATCTCCTTTCACAGATTCCATCTCTTGACTTCAACGCGCCAGATGATACCAGTAACCGCATCACTAACCAGATGGTCTGGGCGCTGATCTTCAGCCTGAAGAAAACCATCACACACCAAAATATTGCAATCGAGTCAGCCAGAGCGGAAATCCAAGAAATTAAACCGGATAGGAAGACCTACGGAAAGAAAACGCTAAACTACAGGAGGAGATACAGTCCCTTCGATCCCAGTTCGTAAACACAGACCCTACCCTCCCCTAAATCATGGGCCGCAGTTACAGCAGCAGCGGCAGGGAACAGGCCCGAACAACCCCCGAACGCGATATTTCCGCGACCATGGAAAGAGCTAAACCGCGTCCGCATCAGCACCGCGGCCACGTTAGACGAAGACATCGATAACAAACAGTTTACAAGATTTCTATCTACCAAAGCAGCGAACATGCACATCAGAACAGCCCTACTGAACGCAGAAACCACCAAAGAAGTGCAAGTAGCGGGAGTCAGTACAACTAAAACAGGCTATGTCATTCAATTCCAGGATGCCTAATCCGCCGAAACCGCCCGAAACAACACCGAGTGACTCGATGAGCTGGGAAACAGACCAAAGTAGTGAAACCCAGGTTCGGGATCGTGGTTCATCGAGTTCCGACGGAGGATTTCAAGTTGGACGCGAACAAAAAACGGGGAATTGAGAAAATCGTGATGGAAAATGACCTCTGCGAGAAGGGAGTCCAGGTTGAAGATATTGCATGGTTGAAGAAGAGAGACATGCTTATGGGTAAATCAGCTACGATGGGGATCTGGCTGGACTCGACGGAGGCAGCACAATAGATTATCAATAATGGACTACTTGTTAGACAGAGGTACATAAATCCTGGCGGAAATCAAACAGACTATTCAAGGACAAACAGAACCTGATAACCCGATGACTAAACTAATGCTTATTGGGGATTTAACTACCATCACCAAGCATAGAGTCATTGCGCGGTCCATTACAACTTCCCATAACATGCGGAGGAACTAATCAACTTCTATATCTACAAGCTACAGTGGTGCCTGGCCAAAGGCGAAATAATATACTGCTTCCTTAATCAACCTGGAAAGACATCAGTTCTTGATCTCATGCTTACCAATAATATAACACACTTGATCCAATACTAACTCTACCACAATCACTAGGGTCAGACCATCAAGAAAAATATTCAGAATGAAATCTCCAAGCAGAACAAACTAGAAAATCCAAACTGAAAAGAGTATATAACCGAGCAGACTGGGTCCAAATAGATCAAGATATACTGAGACAGACTGATCCATATGTAAATATCCAGTCAGCCCTGGACCTAGACTATACTGTTAATAATTAGATTTAGAAGACAGTATTTGCCCTAGACTGGCATGTGCCGGTGTAGGCCCCGTGCCTATACTTAAAGTACTGGTTCATTACAGATCTTAAGGCCCAGCAGATCAAGATTAACTAGATCTAGTTATAGTAGCAGAATAGATGTGCCCTGCTAGGGCCTAACCATTTAATAACAAAGAAACTTTTCAAAGAGATGTAGCAGAAAATATAACAGTAGACCAGAGCAATCAAAAAAGCAAAAAGTAGATATTGGAAGGGGTTTCTTAACAAAGCCAGCGAAGGCCATCTACGGTAAGCGACTACTTATATATATTACCGGGATGCCTACATGAGCATCCAAACCCTCAACATAGGCACTGAAGAGATGGACAGAGAACCAAGAAAAGACAGAGGCATTTCTACTAGCCTTCTTCCCAATGATGGCTGAACCCGAGCCAGAGAAACTGGTAAACTTCGTGGAGAAGCTCTTATGGAAACTAATTACTAAATAAAAGATCTATTAGTTACTCAGAATGGCCAAGGGGACTACAGCCTTTAGCAGAAATAGGATCCCCATGCTTGTCTAGAAACACTTATAGACCTATGTTAAAAAAACATCACTATGATCTTCGCAAAATTAGTGGACCTGGGCCACCACCCCAGACAATAGAAACAGGCGCGGATTGTTATACTACAGAAACTAACGTAACTCCCGGCCGCATCGGCCACCCGCCCGCGCCGGCCACCCAGTACACCGCCCAACACGTTTCTTCTACATGCAACCACCCTTTCTATCAGAGGCAGTGAATGAGCAATGAGTAGTACAATGATTCTAGGGCGGTGTGGTAGGGGTGGCCGATGCGGCCGGGAGTTACGTTAATGTATCGAATATTGCTCGAATAATCGGCTCGCGCTAAGCTCTTTGGCAGTGGGGCTTAGGAACAATTGTCATGTGTTCGAAGGTCAGAGGAATTTCGAGACCGCCTGTATTTCGATACGATATAATGTGTAGTTGTATATATAGCCGCTGCGAGGACTGCTCCTATATCCGCTGCAACATGCATAGCTAATTAGTTGATCCATGGATTTACGGCGAAGCTTTTAGGACGAGGGGTTTGACGGCGTTGAGGGTCATATCAGTTATTGCTTCAGACGGTGAGGCACCGGCATAACTTAGCATCTTACATAGTGGGCTCGAACAAATATAAGGATAAGAGTTGAACTAAATTGGAAGAAAGCCTTTGCCCGCGGGTATCATCGTCAATCAAATCAATCAAGCCAGAAACCAAAAAGAAATCCTCAAACTGAACCTAACCAATCAATCCACTCCTGCCCGGAACTAATCAATCGCTCCCATTTCGCCAATAAAACCTTAGAATTACAATGATACTCAACTAAATGAAAATGAACAGAGACCACACCATCAATGACCTATGGATGGGGTTAAAAGAAGCAGTTCGTCTAAAAATGAGACGTCGCCAACAATCACTCCGAGTTTCACATCATTATCCGCACATACTGAACGGGCAAAAGTAACCATCATGACCCCGCTCTTTCACAACAGAAAACTCAGCTCGTCCTCGCTGTCATCGTCCGAGCATGGAATGACCCGCTCGACTGGGGGAGGTCGCGTACGAGTGGAGCGTCGAGGGCCTTGCACTTCCGAAAGGCTAGGAATTTGTGGTGGTGGGTGTTGTTGTTGTGGTTGTTTTCGTGCCGTTCTGGGGGTGCGATTCAGCGACCTCACCGATACGGGCTGGTTGACGATAACCACCTCGATGAGGGAAGTCACTTTGATAGGGTCCGCGCGGGAGATGCTGGGTGTAGTCGGGCCTGGTTGTAGACTCGACTTCTTCAAGGTGCTGTTCTTGGCCTGGGGCAAATCGCGAAGGGCCGTTCGTGCCCGGGTGGCAATCGGTGCAGAATCTGGCTCGAGGGAGCGAGCCGTAGCAAGGCGCTCACGTGTCGCTGGCAAAGCGCCAGACGTGACTGGAGCTGCAGTCGTCCTCCTCGAACTTGACCGAAGTCTCTTGGGTGACGGTGGCCTCCAATCATTCGTCCCGCGTCCTCGTTTCCCGCTCATCGATGGCGCAGATGATGTCACGCTGGATGCAGCTTCCGAAAGTTCAGGGCTGGGCGATCTGCTACTGGTTGAGCAGGATAGCGCCGATGGTCTCCGCTTAGCTGTCGCAGCAAGAGGGCTTGAAGCGCCATCCGCATTACGGGAAGCCAGAGGTTTGGCGACCGGCGTGCTGGATACCCATTCCCCAATGCTTTCTTCCCATCGGTACAGGTGAATCACATCGCTTTGTGGCACATGTGCCAATGCGGCAGATTTGTGGAGATTCCCTTCTTGCTGGGATGAAGCGGCTTGTTCTTGAATTTCGAGAGCCCACGCGTGGTCATCCACATCCAATGTAACCTCCGCCAACGCCATTGCTGTTTCCGCAGCTACCTTGGCGAGGAGCAGAGAAATGCCCTTCATACTCGTCAGCCGCGCAAGCCGCCATACGATAGCTCGAATTTTCCGAGGTGTCCTCGCAGGATCATCTTCGCGCGCATGTCCACAGCATCGAAACAGTTGTTGGACAAACTCTGCTAGCTGTTTGACTGCATCCTGTTGGTGTATCAAGGATATACACAGCGACTCTAGATTTTCTGGCGAGATGGCGCCGGACTGGCTAATGACCTCGGGCGTGGAACTTTCAGTGCACTGCAGCGTCCACTCACCCAACAAGACGTATCCCCGACGCAGGGATTGGAAGCTTGGACCCTCCATCTCGCGCCGCGACAGTACCAATCCAACTGCCCGTTGTACCCCAAAAGACAGCGTTTTGACAATATGTCTGACTTTCGTGCCTGTTATCTTGTCATTGGCACCGGAGGCTTGCGTCCGTGCCATATACATGCCGCACAGTGCGGTAATTAGACTTGCTGAAAGATTGCTGAGCGCATCTTGGATGGGAACGGGACACGGAGATTGATCTTTAGGCACGCTTGTAGGATTCGTTGCTGATGCACGGGTGTCCTTTAGACGTACACAACGAGGTACCTTTCTCCCCTTGTTCCGTGCTACCAGCGAATCTGTGGCGGGATATATACCAGCAGATGAAAGGATGATAGCCTCGATAGTCCGGGTCGCAGCAGCTGAATCTCCGTCGCCAATTGATAGTGACCGAATAGCCCCATCCACGCACTTTTTCCATCTTGTAGTGACCATCCACTCTGGCGGAAGAGTCCTACGAGACAGGAGCTTTGTCATTTCATCAAAAACAAAGGATCTTCGTTCGGGGGCCTTCGAGTAGTAACTGCGCAATATGTAGATAGGGTTATCGCAGTGGCCCACAGGTTTCGAAGGATCAAAAGCTGTTGGGTAGTCGTGAGTCTTGACGGTCGTAAGATATTGTGACATAAGAGTTTCGAAGGCATCCAACTCCCCGTGCTCAAGACATTCCCCTAGCAGGCGACAGACCGCCAAACTGGGTATCCATTCTCTCATCATCATCTCAGAGATCAGGTGGATGCCTTGCGCACGCACAGCTTCACGGAGCGGCTGCCACCCACCGCCGCCAGGAGCATATTGAGCTTCGAGTTCAGTAAAGTATGCATCACACATGTCAACGTCCTCATCCGGCTCCACCTGATCCTGCAGGCGCTGCTCCTCGGCAATGAAGTGCGGCAGCCGTCGCGCAGCCATAGATAGTAACGATCGGGCCCCGCGATTCTCCTCGTCATGCTTGTGTATTGTCGAAGCAGGTCTGGTATTCTCCAAAAATTTGATAAGCATGCGATCCAAGAATCGCGCAATATCCACCAAGCCCGGGTCTCCAGAAAGATCCAAAACTTCCTTCCATGAGCCCTGGTATGCCGGAAAACTGGGATTATTCGTCCGCGACTGCCTGTTGGCCCCGACAGCGCTCAAGGGTGGTCCCGAATTCCGAAAAAGCCGTTTGCGAACAGACAAGGTCGCCTCCGTGAGTCCTGGTATAGTTCCTGTGATCAATGGGGTAGCGATTTCGATAGCGCCAGGCAGCGTCCTCTGCACTTCCGGGCTCTTGATCAACAGTCGACTACGTCTCCGTGCCCCATTCCTCTGTCTGCGATTCGAGTAATTATGCCTGGGTCGGCGATTTCCCCGGTTTCCTGGGATCCATGCTGGATCGTCAGGTTCCTCGTCTGAAAGATTGCAGCCTGGTTCGTTACCGGTCCTCTTGTTGTTTAGCGGAGCTCGCGAACGGTGGGAATCGTGGGGATCGGGCTTGACTTTCAATTTCGCGTCTGCTATACTGTTGCGAATCTCGTAGTGTTTCTGGAGTCGGTGGTGGATGGATTTCAAGGGGCGCAACATGCGATTCGCCCATTTCGCGGTCGGCCGGATATCCTCCATGTTGCGCCAATTGCGTCGCGGATTGGCGTTGGTACTTGCAGGACGTCCCACGCCCGTAATGGGGAGGGATTCCAAATAAAGCGCTTCAGAATTAGGCTTGTCGTGGTTATTGATGTCTCATAAATGATCGATGTCATCGGGAGTCGCGAGCCAAACACTGCGATGTAACCAAAAGTACTACCGAAAAAATGCGTAGAGACGACACCTAGTTAATTCCGGATCCAATAGAACTGCGTACCATTAAGATATACAGTTATGCACAGCCTCGTGGACCCATAATTAGTTCCAACAACCGAGCTAAGGTAAGTAAACGTGAAAGTAAGATGTTAGAAGTTCACCAACAGAAACCCAGAGGGCGGAATCGCGCAGGTACGCGATGCTTGCCGCCTGGACTCCGTATGGCCCATTGCATAATGACGGGGCGGGTGACCGCCTACCATCTTTAGTGGGCTCCGAAAAGTACTAGTTAGGTACCTAAATCAATGGTCACGTGGAGAACCAGGCCCATAAGGCGCCGGAATCCGGAGTATAGTAAGCAATGGAATAAACAAACAAACAAACATCATTCCATGCTGATCATCGTTCAAATTAGACTCAATATTGATTACAAAGTACGTACGCCGTAGTAACTAACTGGTTACCTGCGGCAACTATGTCAACTAGAACAAGATAGCTTCGCATCATCATTCCTGTTCATTCATGCATTCCCCCTTTCATGGTATCTCCCTGCATCCAGCCACCGCTGATCCTTATCCTCTTTGCTTCTTTAACCCCAATCTCCCCACCATGATTCTCCGCACTCTTCATCCGCCCTCGCTTTGAGTGTCGACACTAATTCTCCGTCATGCTGCTTGATCATCTCTGGCTGGCGTGCCTCACGTTGCTCGTGGCTGGGGCCGCTGCCGTCAAGGTCAATCCCTTACCAGCTCCACGAAACATCACTTGGGCTTCGTCGGGTCCTAAGCAGCTGGCCGACTTCGTTAGTCTCCGTACCTCCCGGGACACTTCCGATTTCATTCTGGCCAATGGATGGAATCGTGCCTGGAATTCTATCGTCTCCCTACAATGGGTACCTGCAGCAACCGAAGGTCCCGTGCCGTCTTATCAACCCTTCCCCACCGGTACGGCCGGGGCTACTAAAAGGTCCCCGCAAGCACTGCCATCACTCCAATTTGTTGATGTGAACGTGTTGGATGTTGCCGCAGATCTTCAGCATGGGGTAGACGAGTCTTACACCCTGGAGGTCACCGAGAGCTCTACCTCGGTGGTCATTGAGGCTCCCACCGTGTGGGGGGCGCTCCATGCCTTTACCACTCTCCAGCAGCTGGTCATCTCCGACGGACAGGGTGGTTTGATCATCGAACAGCCAGTTAAGATTCAGGATGCACCGCTCTATCCTTACCGGGGTATCATGCTTGACACTGGCCGAAACTTTATCTCAGTTAACAAGATATACGAGCAGCTGGACGGCATGTCTCTTTCCAAATTAAATATTCTACACTGGCACATGGAAGATACCCAATCATGGCCCGTGGAGGTTAATGCCTATCCAGAAATGATTTATGATGCCTACTCTCCTCGCGAAGTATATTCGCATGCTGATATGCGCAATGTCGTGGCCTATGCGCGAGCACGTGGTGTACGGGTCATCCCCGAGATTGATATGCCCAGCCATTCCGCCTCTGGGTGGAAGCAGGTCGACCCCCAGATGGTAACCTGCGTGGACTCCTGGTGGTCCAATGATAATTATGCCCTGCATACCGCGGTAGAGCCCCCGCCCGGCCATATGGATATTATTTACAACGGCACGTATGATATAGTCCGACTGGTCTATAATGAGCTGTCCGAAATCTTCCCAGACAACTGGTTCCATGTTGGGGCGGATGAGATCCAGCCGAACTGTTTCAACTTCAGCAGCTACGTCACTGAGTGGTTTGCGCAGGATCCGTCGCGAACTTATAATGACCTAGCCCAGTACTGGATTGACCATGCTGTGCCGATCTTCCAGAACTACAGTACCTCGCGGCGACTGGTCATGTGGGAAGATATTGTACTATCCACAGAACATGCACATAATGTTCCCACGAATATCGTGATGCAAAACTGGAATAATGGCCTGGACTATATCAATCAACTGACTGCCAAGGGCTACGACGTGATTGTATCATCAGCGGATTTTATGTATCTGGACTGTGGGATAGGAGGTTTTCTCACAAATGACCCTCGCTATGATGTAATGAATAATCCCGATGCAAGCACTCCCAACTTTAACTATGGTGGCAACGGAGGCTCGTGGTGTGCGCCGTACAAGACATGGCAGCGGATCTATGACTACGACTTCACACAGAATTTGACCGCTACCCAGGCTCAACACATTATAGGCGCAGAGGCACCGCTCTGGTCAGAGCAAGTGGATGATGTGACGGTATCCAGTCTAATTTGGCCGCGTGCCGCTGCGCTGGCGGAGCTGGTGTGGTCTGGGAATCGTGAGAACGGGCAGAAGCGCACGACGCTGATGACCCAGCGCATCCTGAACTTCCGCGAGTATCTAGTGGCCAACGGGGTGCAGGCGACAGCCCTGGTCCCCAAGTACTGTGTGCAGCGTCCGCATGCCTGCGACCTGTACCTCAACCAGAGTGTGATCCAGTAAACGGGATGGTAAGAGCAGCTGGCAGCGTAGTATCTAAGCTGACATATGGGATCGATGTGTAAATAATATAAGTTGCAGGCGATCTAATTTTAGTACTATAGCTGTCAGTAAACTGATATATACAATCATTATGTCAGTACTTATAGCTTGAAATGTACGCATATCATAAGCTTGCTTGAAGTCAGCCAGGGCTATGGACGATGAAGACTTTGTAGAAATGATATCCCAGAAACCCGCGATTCTCTTCCTCATATTAGTCTCACGCCACATTGTATTCCTCAGAAATCCGAAGGGCACACTTGTGATGGGACTGGTCACATGACCCGAGGTCACCGCATCGTCTTCCTGACTCCTCGATTATGCTTGCCTCTTGCATGTTATCCAGCCATTCGCTAGCCCACATAGCTGATAATAACGAACGGCGCGTCTGACAGTGGTGGAAGGGCACAGCGAGGGTGGGGATGGAGTTCATTACTACTTCCCTGGACTAGAGTGGGAACCGGTGGAACCCCTTAGTGTGATCGACATCGGAATAACACCCGTCTGCAACCATTTCATAACAACAGGAGAACCTTATTTCAACATCACAGGTATTTTGACTATCTTGTCAGTGTGACAAACCTTACCTTGACAACCCAACAAGCTCGGAGTCGGCGGGACAATCACGTCTGCTCACAAATAGTCAGTCCAATGGCGCAATCGGTTGAGTTGACTCATGCAACACCCACCCACATCCCCTCAATCGCCGAACCTCTGGCACCTTACATCAAAAGCCGCCAGGATGCCCTGCTGATTCGGCAAGCTTTGACCATATATCTTCGCTCGCATATCGAGTTCGCAGAGAATAATACCGAGCACCCAGAATGCCACAGTCAATCCCATCTGTCGTTATCAGTGCCTCACGAAGCGGTGGTCGATGTCAAGCGGCTTCCATCAGAGTTGACAGGGTTGCGAAGACAGTACCTGGAAGCGCTCCAGTCGAATGTGGCTGCGAGGAAGGAATATCAGTCAGTTGTGGAGAAGGTGACTTCTGTGGGCCGTGAAAGGAGCAAACCACGGGCGGAAAAGTTACCAGTGGATTCGTCCGCGGAGTTACAGGAATACCTGCGGCTTCTCCGTGACCGTCGTCGGCATGCGAAGCTTCAGGTTTTTGAACACTACATCAAAGAGCTCAAACAACGCGATACGCCCAAACCAGCAGATTTAGAGGATAGCGGGATACATTATCAGCAGCTTGCGCCACCACCAGAAATCGAAGTTACCCGACATGGCTCTACCACTGGGCTTACCGTCGAAGAGCAGATGCATAACCTGGAAAAAGCCGTTATCCGCGCCAAGGCTCAGCTGGAGAGAGAGAAAGAATTGTTAGAAGAGCTTCAGACGCAACAAGCGCCCGTAGAGGCCCAAGATACTCCACGCGCTGTTAAGGGAGTGGCATTACAGCGAACTCGTAACGAGTTGGTACGTTGGGTGGAGGAGAAATTAGTAAGTGCTGGAAACAATGAGAACCGTTCGGCCTCCCGAGATTTTCATTCCGAGGACATGGATGAGTCTGTGCGTCTGCTTGGGGAGAAGAAAGCACAGATTGCACAACAGTACGCTGCATATGCGGATGCTCGCAAGCGTCTGCTCGATGCGGCCTCCAGAGCTTGCCAACCAGTTACTCTCCCGGCTGGAAAGCCCTCATCCCGGCCTACTAGCTTGGTGCAGGGGAAGAATGCATCAGAGGAAACACAATCTCTGGATGCATTGGGAGTCCTTACTTTTGCTAGCGATGTCCTTCAGCCGTTGGCCAGGAGCCAGCGGGCATTGGCACTACAGAAATTCTACCTATCGGGTATGCTTTCGAAAGAAAAAGCCACCACCCTTCGCATTCTGAGCAGACTGCGAGATGAAAGCCACCTTCTCCCAGAGTACCCAACTCTGGCACGCCAGCCACGGTTCAAACATGCGACAGCAACTCTAGCTTCGCACCAGGGCACGAGCACAGAGTCTGCCAAGCCAGACCAACTTGTTGACCTGGCCGAGGCATGGGCATCTGCTTCAGATGCCGCAGGTATGACTGAACAAGAATACGTCGGGTACCGACTGGAGGAAGGGATAGAGACAGCGCAGGATGCGCAACAGGCGCTGGAAGATGTCTATGAAATACTTAACCAGAACCTGGAGGTTACCTTACGTGACCGGCAGGGCGAATCGGGCGAGGACAGTATGTGGCCGTCGGGGGCACGATTGACTCGGTCACGGGCCAAAATGCAGCAGAGCCAACAGCCAGCGAAGGGTCCATGGAGTGGACTCCATGGTCAAGTGGCTGTTGGAAGATGATCTATGAAGGCGAGCAGCTACTGATGTTACATAATGTTTTTTATTTTTTTTTTTTCTGGTCTTATTAATACCCATATTTTGCTTGTCTCCTGTGATAGCGCCCCGTTCATGCCACGTTCTGTCCTTGCACGCTAGAAATATTCAAGGATAGCACCAATATACCTTGTTCAATTAACGACTGTTCCGTTCGTGTTGTGACGGAGGGATGATCGTCTGATGGTTAAGATAAAATTTCACAGTGGAGAGCCGTTTCCACCCAGGAAACAAAATTCCTCTCAGACAAAAGCCGTGCTAGCCGTGAGAGAAGATGACAGTCCAATTCAGTATGACCTCTGATACGCAGTTTTTTGAATACAGGAACGAAGTAAAACTCTTGATAGGTAGTAAGGTAGTGAGCTATAAACGATGCAGGAATGAGTATGCCGCTTCAACGATGAGATAGACCGGTCTTATACCGGTACACTGCTAGCCAATTGTCTTTTTCTCCCTGCAGCATGCGCTTGTCCGTGTGTTGGGGCATGGATCGAGGCATTTGACGGCGTTCAGGTAGATGTTGAGGTAGTGATAAAGACCTCTTCGCGCCCGTTCTGCTGCGCAATCTAGATAGCCAATACAACCGTGTCATCTCCAAAGGCAAATAAAATAACACTGCATGGAACCATATGATCCCTGACCCCGAAGCGCTTGTAGGGGTGCAGGAAAAGGGCCACAGCAATATACAACATGCTTTGAACTGGTTGAAGAGGTTCTTTATCCCGCAGACAGCAGTACAGCAAAAAAAAAGAAAAGAAAAAAAAACACGATTTGGTCATATGATTAAGCGCGAGGACCGTATGCTAGTTTTGGATGGCTATAATTCACACATTTCATTTGAATTTATCCTAACATGCCAGGAGAATAAAATTGTACCGATTTGTTTACCACCACATACCTCGGACCTGCTTCAACCGCTAGATGTTAGTGTTTTTGCCTCCCTAGGCAGTCATTACAGTTATCACCTATGGGAGAGCTTACAAACTGGCCAAGTCAACATCACAAAGCATAATTACATACCTTTATAGTGGCTAGCACAGGAGGATCCATGACTCCAGAAAATATAGTATCAGCTTAGCAATCACCAGGCCTCTGGCCCATTAGCAAAGAGCGGATCTTTAAGCAAGTAGGCTTTGATCTTGCTAATCTTCCTCAGACAGCTAGTATTCCATCTGATGCTGCAACACTTCCTCCACAGCCAGATCAGTATAAAACAATACTACGCTCGCTTGAGTCGGCCACGCCTGAACGCAGCGAGACGCTATACAAATACCTCGAGGACTGCTATCTGCATAAATGCTGCAGTACTGATCTACTCCGCCACGAACTACATGAATTACGCAAAAAACTTGAGTTTCGCACTGCCCAACGTCAGGTGCAAGAGAAAGGTGTATTTGTCCGGGCAGATGGCGTGGTTCTTGACCTCACAGAGGCAGATAAGACCCAACGTGCCTCTATACGAAAGAAGGCAGAAAGGGAAGCGAAACAGCAAGCAAATTCAGCAAAATCTGACGCTCTGAAGCAACGGGCGGATACTGATCAGGATACGCCTACAGTGCCTGCAAGAAGGCGGCGTCGTATTCCTGCAATCACTACACCTGTTCCTACAACTGTTCCTACACCTGTTCCTACACCTGTTCCTACACCTGTTCCTACACCTGTTCCTACACCTGTTCCTACACCTGTTCCTACACCTGTTCCTACACCTGTTCCTACACCTGTTCCTACACCTGTTCCAACGCGTGAGCCGCTTAACCAAACACCTAGTCTGCCACCTAGTCTGCCACCTAGTCTGCCACCTAGTCAATCTATACAGACATCCTACACACCTGCTCACGCCAATCTCTAGACACAGCTAGAGAATGACGTTGAAGGAAGACCTCGAATGGCACCTTTCGTGCTTATCCCTACACCTGCGTACATTGTTCCTGGCTATACAGATCCGATCCCTTCGGGATCACAATGCAAGGACCGAGCAAGCAGTTGGTGGCGCTACGAAGATGACCTCTCTCGATTAGGATCTTGCTCAGGGACCCTAATCTCAAATATTATTCCTGAATAGGATCATTCTACATACAAATTTGTATGATACGTTGATAATCGCTTAATTTTGAATCATATGAAATCGTTGTATGCAAATCGGTGGCAGGGCCGTGTGGTCGGGAGCGCGCGTTGCGGGTGTTTCGTAAGTGACCGCGGTGTGTTCCACATTCCCGGAGACCCCTCAAGCAAGAGGAAAAATTTAATAGCCCCTGGTGGGGATCGAACCCACAGCCTTAAGATCTCAATCTAGCTGCAGGGATAGTTAGTAACGTATTGGTGAAAAGGCATTTTCGGGAGTACTTGCAAGTCTTACGCGCTACCGATTGCGCCACAGGGGCCTGCCTGGCGGAGGGCAGGCTCACTATCATGCAATATCAGCTTGCTTTTGTGGCAACTAGTGCCTTACGTGAGACTTGGAAAATTAACTAACTACGTAACTAGTTAACTAGTTAATTACTATTTACGTATGACCTAAGCCCTTTCAGATTAGATGTGGTCCCATGGTTCCCGAAACCACCTCTCCTACTCTAGTACGTTTGGCAGAAACCGATAGCTTTATAAGTAGATCTCTTGAATCCTTGTAATACATCGGCTGTGGTAAAGAATGCAAACAGTGCATATAACTTGTACCATGTTAAAAGGTGGGAAAGGGGAAAAAGGTAAAAAAGAAAAAAGCCCCGGAGACCCTTCAAGAAGGGGGAGGAAAAAAAAGCCCCTGGTGGGGGTCGAACCCACAACCTTAAGATCTCAATCTAGCTGCAGAGATAGTTAGTAACATGTTTGCTGTAAAGGGGTCCTAGGGAGTACTTGCAAGTCTTACGCGCTACCGATTGCGCCACAAGGGCCACTTGTGTTGAAATGGCTTGACAAATTTGTCTTATTACCGCAAGGTGGCTGTGACCCACGGATACCGCATTTTCTTGTAAATTTCACAACACCTCCGCCAAGAATTTCCTAATGCGATTATACGAACATCGTGTTGCGGGTGGTGTTTATGCTTATTAGAGAGCATCCTAGAATTGCGCGATCTGAATTGAAGTTGACCTGATTCGGAAGCCACACTTTACAGATAAGATAAACTTTAACTAAATCATAACAAATCCATTTATATCGAAGGATTTCCTATGATGTATCTTACTCTTAAGTACCAACTTGGCTCAGGGTAAATATGCTTTGGAGCCAGTCATCCAAGCAGATGGATGGTGACTTTCCACCATCTCAAGCCAGACAAAAGTATCTGTCACTCGCTTCATATCCTTGGTAGTCTGAACTTTGGAAACCATGTCTGCCACCTTCTCTCCCTCCCCCCTCCACGTTAGATATTCTAGTCAAATAGCGTCGATATAGTTGGGAGTTGAACGCCTTTCACTGTAGAAAATGGTAGTAGTAGACATGGATGTTGCATGCTATTTGGATAGTAGGGGATACATCTACGATCCCATCTACGCCTTTATCTTTGGCTGACGGATCATACAATACAGCTGTGCTCATTAGCCCACCCACACGGCGACATAAGAAACGCAACCAAAGCTGAAAAGTCTCACATACTTTGCATTTGTCCTTGCCGTCGACACACTCAATCTCACTGACCATCTCGAACCCCAATTTCTCATAGATTATCAGGTTCGGGAATCCCTTGGAACTTTCCAAGTAGCAAGGCATGCCCTCTCGGTCAGCTTGTTGACTAACTACCTCGACCAATTTCCGACCCAGCCCCATTCCTCGCATTGAGGAGTCGACCGCGATCACATTGCAGAAGTAGTAGCCGCGGGGATCAGTCCAAACTCTGTCGTGAGTCTCCTGTTGTCGGGCTTTCCAGAGCCAGTAACGGCGGACATTAAGGCCACCTCGGCCGCCGAATCGGATGTTATTGTACAGCTGGCGGAAGGAGAGGATCCAGTCTTGCGCCCAGACGGACCAGGGGACAGGCTCGGACGGGGGTTGCGGGCTGTACCACCAGCAGACTCCGACGACGGGGGAATCGGTGGGAATCTTGTCTCTGGGGGTGTTGGTGGTGTATTTGGCCACGAAAATAGGCTCGTTGCAGGAAAGGCCGTAGAGGAAGTGTGCAGCAAGAGAGGCAGCGTTGCGGTGAATGTTGAACTGTTCATAATTTTGTTTAGTTTTATTTATATGGTAGAGCTGGGACTGGCAGTGCAGAGTAGGGAGCGGGATTCTACATGTACAACTCTAGCTCAGTCTGTACATCGTTCGAGGTACCTGGTATCTCTAACCGAGATTGGAAGGTCCTCGAACGGAGGGCTACTTACCCCGGATTTATTGTTGAATACCCAGTGAAAGTACGGGTCGTCGGCGAACGCTTTCTGTATGCATGCTACGGCCGAGGGGATGTCCTCTTTTGTGAGGGGAAGGATCTCGATGGCCATATTGGGTTTGTTTGTTTGCTTTGTTCTCGTAATTGGATTGGGCTTGGATTGGGGAAGATATTGAGTTTATGATGTATGATTCGAAAAACGTATTTGAAAAGTGCATTCAATTCCTACTGGCTCTGCGAATAGGTTGCGAAAGGGCAATAGTATATGCGTGAGAATGACGACGGAGGGGATAAAGAGAGAGCGCCATCTATTGATGGGAGCCGAGATAGACGGACAGTTGAGAAGGGAAAGCGCGGGTGAGTCGCGAGGACACCGACCAGATGAGGTCTTTGATGGAACTGGCAGTTAAGATTGATGAAGAGGAAGAAGAAGAAGAAGAAGGTGAGAGACGGACTGTGAGAGGGTATATTTATCTGGGTTTCCTCTCTTTCATGCTGCCACCCTCCCTTCGTTCCCAAATAGGCAAGTCCTACACCGACCCCGTGACAGCCCACGCTAACTTGGTTTGGTAGTTCGATGCGGCGCCGCCCGGCTCTGTTCTCCCCCTTCCCCACCAATCATATCCCCAAGATCGTCCACCATTGACGATCGCCAAGCCACTAGACGCGATTCGGCAGGTTGTGCCGGAGGATCAGCTGGTCGGCAGGGCTTATCGTGTTATGGGGATAGCTTCATGCACGGGGAAGCTGCCATCTACCGACCCTACGATAGCCGAGTGACGAGACGAGTGGCATATGAGATATAGCCGAGTTTGAATAAACCTTATGACGGGTTACGGAAGGGTACCTTAGAAGACAAGACTATCAGATCCGACCCACCTTACCGTGGCTGGGATATGGGTGCTATCGATTGAGCAATAGCCCCATTTGTGTAGCATAGAGCAGTGCTCGTTACACCGTGACAGATAATGTGTAATTGGCTTCCTAAAAGATCGATCACTTGAACTAGTCTTATATACAGGCCGAATATGGTAGATTTTGACCTATAGCCCCAGTTTGCGCTGGTGAAGTTACGGAGTACCTTTCTTTCTTTTTTTTTCTTCTCGCATTTTCATGACAAGCAGAGCATTCAGGGTTGGGTACGAAGTAACAAGATTTATTTTCTTGCTGACACTCGACAGCTACCCAAGGGGAAGGCCAGCCGGCCCACTTCTACTAACGGGGACTATCCCCACTATCTACACGGCAATAATAGTGGTACTTCCTTTACTGCTTTACTGCAGTGCGTACCTTTCTTTATGAGACAAAGTCTTTCTCTTGACCTAGCTAGCGACTCTGGCAGTTCCGGTCATCCATGGCAACGAATAGATCGTGTCGGTCAGGCCAAGTTGCCCCACAATCCAGGGGTATTGCAGGTGGATATATCGCTACTCGGAGTAGACGAGTTCACTAGTTTTCGCATATTGAATGCTAGAACAGCTCGAAGCAACTACAGAATACACCGATACTACACAAAGATCCCTAAGGCCTTAGATTACTCGGTACCCGCCGCACTATCATCAATATATTTTTCAGTAGTAGCAACAGCAGTAGCAACAGCGTGTAGCCACTTGTCAAGCATCATTATAGTCCTGACATCCCTGCGATCAACTGTCTACTTGGCGCGGGTCCGACGCTTTTTGTTGGTAGCAGTCCTCTCCGCCATATCTCCGTGCCCATCCGGTACATTTCGTGCTCCACGACGCCCTCGTTTGGGGCGCGTCTCCTTTCCTGTCGCTAGATTTGATGGTACTGGGCTCTCCAATGACCCATCTGCAGCTAGATCATGCAAGTGACTATCTATGCTAGTTGAATCAGCCTGTTCCACAGATACAGCTTGCTGCCGGAGTCGACTAAATGCTTTCTCCATCCTAGTCTGTCCACCACTGCGGACACGCGGTGCAAAAGCACCCGCTCCTTGCGGACCGCTGAAGAAACTAGTAATATTCGATTGTGTGCCCTCCTGCTCTCTGCGGTTCATATCGCGAATTACGGGCACTAGCACCTCATCAGTGCGTTCTTGACTCCAGCCAATTGTTGACATAAGGAAGTCCCTTAGACCATGCAAGTCGGGCACTCCCCACTGAAAGGGAGACGGGTCCGAATCCACCTCTGGTTCCAGGTACGCGGCATCGACTCGGGGATCGGGGAAAGATGGTGGTAGGAAGATTTTTGTAGCATGCTTTTTGAACTTCTTGTAGAATGTTGCATGGCTATCGTTGCCCATATTGAGTCCTGTCTGCACCTGCGTCCACCAATCACGGAATTCTTCCAGTGTCCCGAATTCAGTGAGGATCTCTAAAGCAGTTACAGGTCCGATGCCGGGGATTCCTTCTGTGTAGTCGCTCCCTAATAAATGGGCGAGTCTGATGAGTTTGGTGCGGAACAGAGAGTACTCTTTTTCTAGGTCAGTTGTGAGGTAGCATTCAACAAACTTGCTTTGATTGAACATGTTTTTGTAGACGCGTGTGCCTCCAAACAAAAATACATCACTATCATCGGTGATGATACCATCAACAAGGCCAAGTGACACCAATTCTGCACACTGGGCTTCAGCCTCCATAGGGGCCGTGACGTATGGAAGACCGAATAGCCTCAGCAACTGCTGGCATTCAGTAATCATGACTTGTGACACTTCGTCTGCATCTCGGCGGTCCTTCTTTTGCTGAGACCGCAACTGTCTTAGCTCTTGCTCGTAGTCAAATGGAAGTTCGGTGTGAGAAGTAGAGTTTAGTGTCGCTGCAAAGCGTACATGCTCTTCCCCTTCAGCCGCAAGCTGTTCGAGTAATTGCTCGTCTTCAGGATCTGAAAAATTGTCGTCTTCATAATATTCTTCCACTTGGTCTGATTGATCTAGGGTAGTTGGTTCCATCGGTATGTTGTCTGGCTGTATGACAACATCCTCGAACTCAGGCGATGGCGACGTTTCGGGGTGCCTCAAATCTGTTTCATCATCAATGGAGATGTGTTTCTCCGTCATAGATGGATTGGACGCATCCACTGGAATGATATCTCCCGTATGTGCTTCCAAAGCTTCGGCGTCCTTTGTTTCAGTGGCTTGTGCTTCGACAGGAGTTACTTGTGGTCCAACCTCGAGTTTGATTTGAGATTCTTGACCACTACCGTTCAATTGAGGAGTCGGCTCCAAGCCATTGAATGGTTTTGAGCCTTTTGAAGCCCCTGAATCATGCTCCCCCATCGTTTCTTCATCGCCAACGATGAACACGTGATCTGGTACATCCTGCTCACTAGGCGGCTTCACCACTGGACGATAGTGAGCCTCATCATTGACGAACTCAGCATCCTTGACACTTTGCGATGGCCCTGAGAACCACGGCGGCAGTATCTGGATATCCTTCGTCTTACTTGATCCATTGTCGGATTTTGTTGCACCAACTTCTTGTTCAGCTGATTTACCACGGTTGATCGACTTTCCAGCTTTGAACGGGTTGAGTGATTCAAAGGGTAGCGGACCATCGAAGGAGTTACCTGCCACTTTGGGCGGTGCTTTCTTTACTCTCTTAGATTGTGCTAAGGCGGCGACAAAGTCCATTCCTTCGTCATCACTATGATCCGTAAGGTCTGCGGGGGCCTCGTGGATAGTTGGAGGCATATAGTTCTGGTTAAGCTGGATTTCAGGTAGATCATCATCGTTGGCATCGGCATCGGCACCGACACCAGATTGGAGAGACATCGCGATCGCTCGTTGAAGCGTTTCGTCATCATCATCTCCAGTGGCATCGAACAATGTATCTGTGGTATGGTGGTTATGCTTCGCTAGTTCGTTCTGACCACCTTCCACGAAAAGGGAGTCATCGTTGACTTCCTGCAGCTCGGGGCCTCCTGTATCCAAGCTATCACGCATCTGGTTCCTGTTTGATTTGTCGAAAACCCCTTTCTGGAGGGAAGGCAGCTTAGGAAGTCGGTTCAATCCTTCGATAGGCACATCTTCAAAGCCACCATCATCGTCATCCGAATTATCCTCTTTGTCAGGGAAAATCAGCTGCTGACCATACTGATCAACATCGATAGGTTTATCCTCCTGGCCTTCTTTGTTTCCCACAACTCCCAGAACCCAGCCCCCTTCAATGGTATTATCCTTCACCAAGACATACTCCTTCCCGCGTTCTCCGGCAATACGTTGTCCTGATTTGTACAGAGCATCTTCACCATTCATGCCGTTGATATTCATCAGTCGTTGAGTTAAGTCATTGCGCTCCTTTACACGCTCGATCTGAAACTTCGAGAATGCCATTCTATTAGGGAACATGCTGTCTAGTTGCTCCTTTGAGTACCCCATCCGGAGACGGCTTCGGAGTCTGGCTGCATTGAGGATATTGTACCGGTCCGTCGCCGGGAGACTGACGAAGAATGGGCTATCAAAGTCAATTTTCGAGAAATCATACAAATTGATATCTTCTCCTTGATGAAATTGCCTCGCATATTCCTCCAATTCTTCCTGTGACATGATGCGAGGGTCATTGGGGGCCCCCATCTCTTCAAGGCTGGTTTGTAAATCCGGCAGATGATAGGCGTCTTTCTTCTTGAATGACCGCGTCTGCTTCTTTTCATGTTCGGTTATGAAAGCATCACCAACATAAACAGGGTTGTCCGGCACCTCCTCTTCATTTTCCGTTCTCCCCCTCCGGCGGATAGCTGCCTCTTCCTCAGCAGATCTTTGCAGCTGCACAGCCAGCAGTTTCCCAGCGGTCCGCGCGGCATCTTCTCGCCGACCTTCGCGCCGTTTCTTCCGGTTTGCTATAGTCTGGCGCTTGAGGACTGGGGCGCCACCATCAAACACGAAGACCGGCTGGATTCCGAAGTAGAGTAGCTTGCATATGCGGCGAAAGAAGCCCACGATATGAGAGTTCCGGAGGGCATTGCCTTCTTTGTCGCGTACCGCCTTCAAAAACTGGTAAATCCATATCGAGGCATCGACAGCCAGGCGCTTTTTATTGAGAGTTTCCAATTTGATGGGCCGTGCACAAGGATGTACGACCGTCCAGAGCCCATGGACACCCATGCTGCTTCAGCAGTCCCGATATTATGGGCTATGACAGCCGTACCCAAGTACCGAATACTTACACGTCATATACGTTGTATGAGATGAAACCTACTAGGCGATTGTTTTGACGACTCAAGACGACGCGGATCAACTGCAGTCGGGGGGCGTCGATGAGGTCATCGGACACTTTGTGACACGTGATACTGTCTGATATTGAATCACGTGATTTATATACCGGAGCCGACACGATGGCTTCAGGGGCTGATGGATCTCTCATAGATGTATGTCAAACGCCAAATTTGCAAGCTAATGGCGGGGAATATCTAGTTCATGCAAAATTAGCTCTCTCACAACCCTCATCACTGTGGTGACTCTGCTGGACTCATGTCTTCTGAACCCGGCTCACGTCTATCCATGCGCTTCCATTCAGCTGGGTAGTTCTCACCTGGGTGCGCTACTATGCTCTACAGCTTGTCTTTCCAGTATCAATCGATTCTCCTTTCTGCTCCAAAGATTGAAAATGAGTCTCACTTATTTTGAGGGTGACCTTCAGTTCCACGTTCGTTTTCAAAATTTGTAGGATAGAATCCGTGAACCCTCCGTCTACAAGGCAGCCTGTAGAAATCAGTCACAATCCCTCCCGGACATTGCTGATACATGGTACCGGAGCCCAGCGTACAGCGATGGTGAGGTATTTGAAGTGCTTTGGCGCACTGTAAAAGCAAACCAGTAGATC